GGAATTTTCTGCACTCGCTCTGAGTGTTAGGAGTTCCCTTTTCTGTCCATGAGTTAGAAGCAGAGAGTTTCTCCTCAGTTGTTTTCTCTGTATGCCTGTGGTGCTCACTTCCCGGTTTTGAGCCCTGTCTAGAGTTCAGGTTGAGGAAGCCAGAGGGAAAAAAGGTAACATTATGGCCAGTTCAATGGTGCTGCAAATTGTTCTTTTTAATTGCTTTTAATATTTCAAATTTAGTTTTTCTCACCATCAAATTGGTATTAACTGATCAACACTGAAGTGCATTTATAGTAAACATTCATTGGGTGTGTGGAGGGGGAGGAGGGGATGGGTATATACACATGTAACAGGTGCAGTGCTCACCGTCTGGGGGATGGACACTCTTGAAGCTATGACTCGCTGGGGCAAGGGCAATATATGTCACCTAAATATTTGTAGCCCCGTAATGTGCTGTAATAAAAAAAATTAAAAATTTAGTTTTTCATCAGTTTTAAAGTTTCACTTCTTTCCAGCATCCTACAAACAGCAGTAAACATGAAATTGGTGTCCATGTGACAAACAGCTTGTCAAGGAAAGCTGCCAATTGGTTTCTATACTGATGCCAACAGCCAACTTTGTCACCCAACAGGTTCAGTTTTATCAACAACTAAAACAAAAACCCTCTTTTTTATGGCAACTCAATGGTATCTGCTATGCAGTATCTATTCCAGTGTCAAAAACAGGGCAAACTGCTGTTGGACTTACAAGTTGCTTGTGACAGATGCAGTCAGAAGACAGGACACTGACGCAGGCACCGTCCACTCCAACGTGCAGCGTTGGCCCACTGGGAAGGGTGTGACCACATTCTCCTCTCTCTGTGTGAAGTTGAGTGGCGTTCACAATATTTGCAAGAAGAAAAAGACCTTCCACTGCTTGTGTTGGCACGGACAACAACAAAACTATTCAAGCTTCTTTTCATATCACATGATGGTGGCAAGATGAGAGAACATACTCATCTAACACTAGTTGATTAAGGGTAAATTCTTTTAAGACAAAGCGTTAGCAACTGAATGGAAGGCCAGATACCAGCTCCTTTTCTTTAGTGTAGCGATTCAATCTTCAGGTAAATATTAGAGTCCTTTACCATACACAGGTGTCTCTGTGACAGGGTGTTTCTGTTTCAAAGTGTCAATGAGGGATAAGACCCCTCATTTTACATTGGTTGCAACTCTTCTGGTCACTGAGTCTGCTGGTGGAGGAGGTTGAACTTTCTGTGGAAGCGGCCTGCCCACCAGGCGCCTCTGTTCTCTTAACCCACAAAAAGCCCGGACCTTGGAAACGTTACCAGCACTGGGCTCACTCCAGAAAACGTGGCATTCCAAGCACTGGTTCCCAGTGTCCATGATGAAAGCAGATGTATCAACATCCTTCCCAACACCTATGTAGGGCAGGAATCACACAAGACGCTCCGCTAAGTTTCGCTCCCCCTTTTCACTGATGAGAGTCACAGTAGCATTGGCCACGTCATGCTCCCCGGCAGCCAGTCCTCCTTGTTGGACAAGGTTGTAAGACTTGCCGCGGCACTGTTCAGGGTGTCCATTCTGACTGGTTTGTCTGCCAGTAACATGCCCAAGTACTGCACATAGAACTTCTGGACCAGCTCAGTCTTTGGTGTTAGAAAAATCTTGCGGCTGGGCATGGTGGCTCCTACCTGTAATCCTAGCACTCTGGGAGGCTGAGGCGGGAGGACTGCTCCAGGTCAGGAGTTCGAAACCAGCCTGAGTAAGAGCGAGATCCTGTCTCTACTAAAACTAGAAAGAAATTAATTGGCCAAATAAAAATATATAGAAAAAATTAGCGGGACGGCTTGAGGAGGGATGTGAGCCAGGAGTTTGGGTTGCTGTGAGCTAGGCTGATGCACAGCACTGATGCCGGGCAAGAGTGAGACTCTGTTGAAAAGAAAAGAAACAAAGAAAAAAGAAAGAAGGAGGGGAGGGAGGGGGAGGGAGAGGAGAGGGAGAGAGGCAGTGACTCGCCCACGCGCGGTCGTGTTCCCGAGGCGGCAAACGGGCACCGCAGCCGGGCTCCCTGCGCCGGCGGCCACGCGGCGGCGCCCGAGCGCGGGTTCTGCGTGACGTAAGGCCTGCGCATGCGCGGTGGGAGGGGCCCTCGATGAGCGTTCCGGCGCGCCGCGAGGAGCGCAGGAGCGAGTGTGTGCGGCCGCGGGCGGGGCGCCGCGGGCCGGCGGAGCGCCGGGGCGGGGGCGCGCGCGAGGCAGCTCGGTCTCCTGCGGGGCCTGAGTGCGGCCCGCGCCGCCGCGCCGGGGCAGCCCGCGCCGGGCCTGCGGCTCTCCGGGACGCTCGCCGAGCCCGACGCCTAAATGACTCGGCGCCTCCGTCGGTGACAGGCCTCTCTCTGCTCTTCCTTCCTGGGAGTTTATTCTGCACGCTTATTGTTGCGGGAATGTGCTCTGGGTGTAGTTAGATGCTGCTCTTTTTTAAAAAGAAAACATTACCTCTTTTATTTACTAATCCTGCTTTTCCCATCCTTTGCCTTTCCGTAGAACCCTAAGGCTAAGTAAGCATTCAGAATATTTAAAATAATCATCTTGATGTACCATATACTTTATTGGCAATATGGAATTCTACTTTAAATTGTATTGGATGACACTAATTTGTTTCTTCCCTAGTTGTATATAATTTTGTTCCATTGCTTTTCTTTTTTTTTTCTTTTTTTTACTTTAAGCAGTGAATCCCCATTTTTTCTGTTGTTCAGCCTTTCCTGTCAATGTCAGAAATCCTTTGTGTTTAAACAGTGCCTCAATTGTTGAGTAATGATGAAGGCCCAACATATTAATAGCTGAGAAAATGAATTTCTAAAATCCTACAGATTTTGTACTCGGGGTTGGCAGCCTTTGAGTGAAGATGGAGAGGCAGACGGGGCAGGTTGCAGGGGCTGGAGAGTGACAATCAGGTATGGGTTTTTGATGACAGTTCTGGACTCTTGCACAAATACCGTGCACAATTTTACATTCATAATTGTGTATTTTCTTAAAGAATTACCCTTCCACCAAGGTGCATAAGCTTTCTGCTCCATAAAACCTGAATCCACCCTAGGTGGCAAAGCAGGGGTAAGGACAGTTGAAAGGATTAACCTTGGGCTTGGGCTGGGAACTCAGACTGGAGAAGGAGGTGGTGGATGAGCCCAAAGAGGAGGAGCAGATCCAGTGGAAGTGAGAACACAGGAGAGCAGCGTGAGGCTGAGAGCACGCAGAGGGAGAAGTTTGATCAGGCAGCTGGTGCACCCTTACCAGGCACCTGCTGCATGCCAGGCTTTCAGGGATACAGTGGTGAACAGAAGAGGCAAGCAATCCTCTCTGCTCAGTCTTGGGACTCACTCTAGGTTTCACCTAGAGGAAGAAGGAACACATGTGCCAGGGCCTCGCTCTCCCCAAGAAGATGCCTTTGAGGACTGAGAAAGGCTATATCTCAGGGTCTCCCGTCAGAGTTTGGACTTGATCCTGTGGCAGGGTAGGGGTGTTAAATGTTTTAAGCAAGGGAAGACCACGTCTGTACTTTAGGAAGATCGCCCTGTGTATATCAGAGAGAAACTCTTCCACATGTACATGGGGAAATGGGTATAGTCAAACAATTGAAAATAGTGAACTAGAGTTTCATGTATCTACACAGATAAATCTCAAAAACAATGTTGAGCTTTTAAAAAAACTAATTGCAAAAGGACAATACCAGTATATCACTACTTATATAAAGCTTGAAAACATACTATGTGTTATTATGTGCACATACTCGTGGTGAAAATAAAAAGCATGTATGGGAAGTCAGGTTTGGTGGCTGAGGCCTATAGTCCCAGCATGTTGGGAGGCTGAAGTGGGATCACTTGAGCCCAGGAGTTTGAGTCCAGCCTGGGCAACATAGTGAGGCCCCATCTCTTAAAAAATAAAAAGCAGGTATGAGAATTATATGCACCAGTAGTTCTCAAACTTTAGCTTGCATCCAGATCACCTAGAGCAGCGGTCCCCAACCTTTTTGGCACCAGGGATCAGTTTCATGGAAGACAATTTTTCCATGGACCAGAGGTGGGGCATCACCACCTCAGCTCCACCTCAGATCACAGGCGTTAGATTCTCATAAGGAGCTGCAACCTAGCTCTCTCGCATGCGCAGTTCATAGTAGGGTTCAAGGTCCTATGAGAACCTAATGCCCTCTCTGGTCTGGCAGGAGGTAGAGCTCAGGCAGTGATGCGAGTGATGGGGAGCAGCTGTAAATACAGATGAAGCTTCACTCACTCGCCTGCTGCTCTCCTCCTGCCATGCAGCCCAGTTCCTAACAGGCCCAAGGGTTGGGGACCACAGAACTAGAGGGCTTATTGAAACAGATTTCAGGCCAGGCATGGTTGCTCACGCCTATAATCCTAGCACTCTGGGAGGCCGAGGTGGGAGGATCGTTCGAGGTCAGGAGTTCGAGACCAGCCTGAGCAAGGGCGAAATACTGTCTCTACTAAAAATAGAAAGAAATTAATTGACCAACTAAAAATATATAGAAAAAATTAGCCAGGCATGGTGGCGCATGCCTGTAGTCCCAGCTACTTGGGAGGCTGAGGCAGGAGGATCGCCTGAACCCAGGAATTTGAGGTTGCTGTGAGCTAGGCTTACGCCATGGCACTCTAGCCTGGGCAACAGAGTGAGACTCTGTCTCAAAAAAAACAAAACCAGATTTTGTTTCTGATTATTAGGTCTAGGGTGATGACCTAAGAATTTGCATTTTTCCCAAGTTCCAGATGATGTTGATGTTATGGGTCCAGGAACCACAGTTTGAGAGCCTCCAATGTACCCAGTTTGAGGACAGTGATTACTACTTGGGAGGGGTCCAAAGGGGCTTCAACTATATGTAATATTTCTTTGAAAAAGATCTGAAACAAATATAATGCAATGTAACTTGACAAAAGTATACAGGTGTTCAGGATCCTACTTTTTATTTTTGTCTGTGTTTAAAACATTTCATGGAAGAAAAAAGATCCTGTTTGCTGTGTAGAGAATGGATTGGAAGAGAAGAAGAGGGAGATCATGCAGGAAACTGTTGCAGAAGCCCAGGTAAGGGGTGCTGCTGGCTCCCTTACCTGGTAAGGGAGGTAGCGGGGAGGTAGCAAGGAGCAGATGTGAGCAGCTGTGAGAGGTGTGGGTGGCAGAGTTGGCTCTGTGTGGTGATTGGTTGGTTTAGTGGTCAGGGGAGGGCAAAATCAAGTCACCTGGTTTGTGACTTGAGTGGGTGAGTGGATTGTGTGCCCGTCACACAGGTAACCCTGGAGGAGGGGTACGCTGGGACAGGAGGGAGACACTGAGTTCAGCTGTGGGCACCCCAGACCTTGAAGAGCCAGCTGGGTGAAGCACAGGAGAAAGATCTGGGCTGCAGCACAGATTTGAAAACCATCCGCGTTTAGACGGCTGCTAAAGCCGTGTTTGTAGAGGAGATTACGTTGGCCTTCGACAGACCTAGAGGACTGTTACCACCTAGCGCAGGGCCTGGCCATCTGTGGCCCACTGTCTGTTTTTGTATATCCTGAGAGCTAAGAATGCTTTTATTTTTCAAGATGTTGTGGTAGGGGGTGGGGATTCAGCAAAGAGTAATATTTTGTGATAAGTGAAAACTCTATGAAGTTCAGATTCCAGTATCCATAAGTAAATTTCTGTTGGAGCACAGCCACACTCACTTGTTTACATGTTGTCTGGGACTGCTTTTGCACATGCTGACAATGTAATTGTGTAACTGACAGAGATGGGAGGTGGCCTGTCATCGCTTTGCACCACAAATCACAGTGATATAGCTGCCATTCGATTTTGACTTTTGGTCTATAAGCATAAATATTTACTATCTGTCTTGGTAGAAAAAAGTTTGCTCTGTACTCCCATAATATGCCGAAAAAAAAAAAAAAAAAAGCCAGAGACCCATATGCACCCTGCAAAGCTTAAAATATTTACTAAAAAAAAAAAAAAAAAAAAAGTTTGCTGATCCCTGACCTGAGGTCTGAGTCGAGGCACACTCTGACGTGTTAGATACTGCGGAAGAGGGATGGAGGACACCTTTCCTTCCGCTTCTGTAAGAGTGCCTTGTAAGAGTCAGGTTCCCTGGAAGAAACCCAAGAGGCTGAGGCCTGAGTGGGGAAGTTGTCATAGTTTCAGATCCTGAAGCTGACATGAGGCAGTGGGCCAGAGAGAAAGATGTGTCCTGGAAGCTATGTGAGAAAGGTAACCAAGGACTGTCCTGCACCTGGCGGGCACGGCTGCACAGCCCGAGCTGGTGGTGAGCCAATGGCATGGCTCAGGAAAGTGGAGCTGGCAGCTCTGCAGAGCCAGGGCTTACTGTGCACCTCCTCATGCCAGCAGGGATGAGCACGCAGCGTTTTCTGTTATCAAGTAAGGAGAGCTACATCGAATTGTTGAAGAGTCCATTATTTCTAAAATTTCCTGATGGGAGGAAGGAGTGTCTCTGCATTGGCCGTTACCTGCCACTCACTGGCTGGGTAGCAGCGAGGGCAGGCGTGTGTTTACTGAAATTGTGAGCACTGTGAAAAGAGGAGACAGGGAGAAGGGCTAGAACTGTATCTCCTTCAAACTGAGATATAATTCACACACCATAAAATTTGACATTTTAAACTGTACTACTCAGTGATTTTTGTATATTCACAAGGTTGTACATTCATCACCAATGTCCAATTGCAGAACATTTTCATTCAAAAAGAAATCCCAAGCCTATCAGCAGTCTTTTCTCCTTCCCCTCTCCCACGCCCCTAGCAATCTCTGAACTACCATCTGTCTCTATGAATTTGCCTAATCCAGGTGTTTTATACAAATGCAGTTGTATAATATGTGGCCTTTTTTTCTCACTTCACTGTGATGTTTTTGAGGTTCATCATGTTGCAGCATGAATTAGTGCTTTATTCCTTTTTCTGGCTGAATAATGTTACATTTGTGGATGTGCCTCTTTTTGTTTATCCATTCACCAGTTGTTGGACATTGGGTTATGTCTGCTATTGGCTGTTAGAGATAATGCTTCTATGGACATTCATCGAAAACATGTTTTCAATTCTCTTGGGTATGTACTGAGCAGTGGCGTTGCTGGGTGATAGGATAGCTCTGTGTTTAACCCTTTGAGGGCTTGCCAGGCCATTTTCCATAGTGGCTACATTTTACATTCCCACCAGCAACATGTGAGGATCCAGTTTCTCCACCTCCTGATAAACACTTGTTATCTCCCTTTTTTTTGCTGTGGCCATCCTGGTGGGTATGAAATGGTATCTCATTACGCTTTTGATTTGCACTTGCCTTGGAGATTAATGAAGTTGAGCATCTTCTTATGTGCCTCTTGGCCTTCTGTCTATCTTTGGAGAAATGTCTATCCAAGTCCTTTGCCCATTTTTAAATAGAGTTATTTGATTTTTTATTGTTGAGGGAAAAACACTAGTTTTGAGTTGTCCATCTGACATCCAGGTGAGGATGTCAAGGAAGCAAGCCTCGAGTTCTGAGAGGCTGGGATTGGAGCTGCACCCGTGGGAGCCAACAGCAGGTGGAGATGGAGTCTGGGTGAGATTGTCCAGGGCATGAGTGAAGGGGCTGGGTACCCCAGCATGTAGGGTTGGAGAGATGAGGGGAACCGCCAGAGTGCAGTTTCCTGGAACCAAGTAAAGAAAATGTTTTGAGGAGGAAGGAGTGATCAGTCAGACTGACACTGTTTATAGGTCAGGTGAGACTGGGACTGTGTGCTGGCTATTGTGTTTAGGTCACTGTGCTGCTGACCTTGATACAGTTAGTTTGGGTAGAGGAGCTGGGAGTTGAAGAGAACACGAGGACTGATGGAGATAGTGCAGGTGTGCAGTTTGCTGAAAAGGGAAGAGAGGACTTGGGCATGAGCTGCAAGTGGGAAGTCACAGTGCCCTGGTGTTTGGAAGAGGAGAGTGCTGTGGAGTGTCATCCTTGAGCAGGTGATAGAGGAGGGGTCTTGTGCTCAGGCCTGAGCTGGTGTATAGCCAGTTCCATAGTAACAGGAAAGAGTACGTGGGAACTCTGGAAACACTGATTGCTTCTGTTTTTTTCAATAAAATAGGAAACAAGATCATCAGTTGAGAGTGAAGGTAGGGGAAGAGGAGACATAAGTTTGAAGAAGAGGCCGGGCGCGGTGGCTCACGCCTGTAATCCTAGCACTCTGGGAGTCTGTGGCAGAGGATTGCTTGAGGTCAGGAGTTTGAGGCTGCAGTGAGCTGTGGTGATGCCATTGACTCTAGCCAGGGGGGTTGGAGTGAGACCCTGTCTCAAAAAAAAAAAAAAGGTTTGAAGGAGAGAGAGGGTGACCTGGTCCAACCAGCCTAGGCTACACAGAATGAGCCTGTCTGGATTATCGACTCATTGCCATGAGCGAGACTGCACACCAGTGGAACTTGGTTGTTTTAATCAAAGGGAAAGAAAGAGTTATGGTAGAATTTGGGGGATGTGTGGCTTTAAGCAAAATTTAAATGAAGTCATGTTTTGATGGGCTCAAGGCCAAGCAGTATGTATATAAAGGGACCAAGAGATAGTCTGGACTGCAAGGTGGACCCCAGGGTCCGGTTTCCTTGGAGATGGAAATATTAACATAGAGGTGCAGTGTCATCTCCAGAAGCTCTTTATCTGAAGCCCTGCCCTGGCTTGGACATCAGTGCTGCTTCTCTGTGTCAGAGTGACTTCGATCCTCCAGGCTGGAGGAGGGTGGTTATTCTTACTGATAAGACTTCCAGAGGCAAAATTTCTGGTAGTCTCTGATTGTAGAGAACAAGGTTTCTCAACAGTAAGAAAGTAGTCACCATTCAGAGGAGGGGCTTGTCTGACACTATCACCACAGCGTCTTCTTGGAAGTGCCATTTCCGGTTAACTTTGTGGCCAGCTTTGTTGGTGTCTTGTCCCAGCTCCATGAACGGTGAGTAGATTTCACTTTCTTGTGGAAAAGGGATGAACGAGCTGCCTGCTCCTGATTTTTTCATGGCTGGCTCCTCTCAGGCCTCGTCTCAGCACGTGTGTCGCATTCTCTGAGAGGCCTTCGGGGACGCTTCTTCTAAGGGGTTTTCTACATTTACCCTCCATCTTTGAAGCCTTCATCGCTGGATGATAAACTTTTTTGTTTACTTGTTTATCGTCTGTCCTTCCCACTAGATTTTCCTCTAAGCTCCAGGAGGACAGGAACCACATCTATTTAGTTCACTCTTGTATTTCCAGCGCCTGGTGCGGGGCTGGCATACAGAGGTTGCTCAGTGTGTGCTGAATGACTGAGTGGCTGAGAAGTGGCAACGGAGGAGGGGAGCAGGCTGGGGAGGGCGTGGGGCTGACGTGGTGACTGCGCTGGCTGTCAGAGGGCTTCCCTCCTCCCAGGGGCTGGAGAGCTTGAGGGACACCTCGGTGGTAGGCGGGCCCCTAGGAAAGGTGGGCCGGGTGGACACTGCAGTTTGTCTGTGTACAGAGCTGCAGTTTCTGTGTAACAGACTTCCTGTTTGCTACCTTGTGGCGGAGCGCTTCCACACCAGCCCTTGGGGCCAGCCAGAACACTGACTGAGCCCAGTATCTGGATGGAGACCTGAGCTGGGAGAAAGAAGGTGCTCCTGGAAGGTAGCCCTTCCTGTCACAGTCGTGTCTGGCACAGGAGCACAAGGTCAGTTCCATCACCAGTGTCCCTGGGCATCCCACCACTGGTTCCACTGGCACAGGCTGGCCTGGCCATCACCACTGGTTCAGATATGGCCCTGCCCAGGTACTGCTGTCCAGGGCTCTTCACCAGGCTCCCTATCCAGGCCCCTCCATCAGTGCCTCGCATGGCCAAGCACTAAGCCCATACCTTACAGCGGTTACTCACTGCCAGCATCACCTCTGGGTCACTGACTGTCCTGTCTCCAGCTCATCCATCTGTTAGCTCTTATCCCTGCTCATCTCCAGGGCCTCCTAACGGGTCTCCCAGCCTCAGACTCTTTCGCCCAAACTCACCTTTCACAACTACTAACGAGTAGCCTTTGCTTCTTAGAATCGTTCAGGGGCTTTTGTTTACCTCCAAGGACATTCCAGCTTCTTAGCTGGGTTCAAGAGCCCTTAGCCCTCCAGCCCTGCCTCCCCCCTCCAGCCTGCTCCTCTTGCTCTCCTTTGTCTGCCCTCTGCCCCAGCCCCACCAGACTGACTAACAGACTTTTTGCATTCATTTTACTGAATATTCACATATATGGACTCGGTGCAAACTACTGTGAGACAAAGACAAAGTCAGATACAGATACCTTCCTAATCTAATCTGCATGAACCACATTCGAGTTTGTACTAAGAAATAATGACTATGGAAACAGCTAACATTGGTCATTTAGTATAAGCCTAATAATATTCACTCCCTGCTTTAATCTTCATAGTAAGGCCACAGCTTATAGGACCCTTGAGTAGAAGAGGCATCAGATCACCTTCATAGAAATAAAAACTGACCATGTCCTTCCTCCTTGTTTCATTTTCTGTTTTAGGAAATCACAGAGGGTAGCACCATGGAAAAGCAGCCCCAAGACAGCAAGAAAGGCATGGCGCCCAGGGAGGTGCCCCCAGCAGTCAGGCTGCTGCTGTCCATGGCCCTCATGAACGTGCTGCTCTACCTCTGCCTGGGTCGGGTCTTTACTTCCCCCCAACATTCCATAGGGAACCCCAGGGACTGTCCCTATGGCCACTTCAAAATAGGACAGATGAAGAACTGCTCACCATGGCTGTCCTGCGAGGAACTGAGAACAGAAGTGAGGCAGCTGAAGCGTGTTGGGGAAGGAGCCGTGAAGAGGGTGAGTTGTTGGGGTTCATGTCTGATCGCCGAGTGTCAGCCCGAGGAAGGTGGCAGTGCTGCATCCCGAGTTAGGAGCCCCAGTGGCTCTGTGTGTCTAGCCTTGGGCCCAGTAATCTAAATGCATAAAGGAGTACTATAGTGATAGAAAAGTAGAAACAATAATTTTAGGGGAATAGTTAAATTGTGGTCCAACTACTTGATGGAATATTCCGGAGCCAGTTAAGCATAGCTAGAAACCCACCTGTAGCAACATGAAGAAAATCTTACGGTAAGTGAAAAAAGCAGGATACAAAAATTGTATAATACACTATCTTCAACTGCAAAATTACATATTTATGTAGAAAATACAAAAATGATAGGAATTGTGCTAGGGTTATGGGGGATTATGGATGATTCTTGTATTTCAAACTCTGTGATATACTGATACTTTAAAAGTGTATTCTTTTTTTGTGGCAGAGTCTCACTCTGTTGCCCGGGCTAGAGTGCTGTGGCGTCAGCCTAGCTCACAGCAACCTCAAACTCCTGGGCTCAAGCAATCCTCTTGCCTCAGTCTCCTGAGCAGCTGGGACTACAGGCATTCGCCACCATGCCCAGCTAATTTTTTCTATACATTTTTTAGTTGGCCAACTAATTTATTTCTATTTTTAGTAGAGATGGGGTCTTGCTCTTGCTCAGGCTGGTTTCGAACTCCTGACCTCGAGCAATCCGCCCGCCTCGGCCTCCCAGAGTGCTAGGATTACAGGCGTGAGCCACCGTAGTTTTAGTTTTTTGAGGAATCTCCATACTGTTTTCCATAATGGCTGTACTAATTTACATTCCCACCAACAGTACATGGAAGTTCCCTTTTGTCTGCATCCTTGTTAGCATTTATTATGTTTTTGTCTTTTTGAAAATGGTTATTCTAACTAGGGTGAGATAATATCTCCTTGTGTTTTTGTTTTCTTTTGTTTTGGTTTTTTTGAGACAGGTCTCACTCTGTCACCCAGGCTTGGAGTGCAGTGGTACAGTCACAGCTCATTGCAACCTCAAACTCCTGGGTTCAAGGGCTCCTCCTATCTCAGCCTCTGTAGTAGCTGGGACTACAGAGATGTGCAACCATACCCAACTAATTTTTTTTTTTTTTTTTTTTTGGAGACAGAGTCTTTGTTGCCCGGGTTAGAGTGCTGTGGCATCAGCCTAGGTTACAACAACCTCAAACTCCTGGGCTCAAGCAATCCTCCAGCCTCAGCCTCCCAATTAGCTGGGACTACAGACATGTGCCACCATGCCCAGCTAACTTTTTCTATATATTTTTAGTTGGCCAATTAATTTCTTTATATTTTTTAGTAGACATGGGGTCTCGCTCTTGCTCAGCCTGGTTTCGAATTCCTTATCTCCAGCGATCACCTGCCTCAGTCTCTCAGAGAGCTAGGATTACAGGCGTGAGGCACCGAGCCTGGCCACACCTGACTAATTTTTAAATTTTTTTGTAGAGATGGGTTCTTGCTATGCCCAGGCTTATCTTGAACTCCTGGCTTCATGTGATCCTCCTGCCTCAGCCTCCCAAAGTGCTAGGATTACAGGTGCGAGCTCTTTGTGGTTTTGATTTGCATTTTCCTAATGGTTAGTTATGTTGACCATTTTTTCACATATTTATCGGCCAATTCGTATGTTGTTTTTTGAGAAATGTCTGCAGATCATTTGCCCATTTTATAAGCAGATTGTTTTTTGCCGTTGAGATAGTTGAGTTTCTTGTATGTTCTGGATATTAATATCCTGGCAGATGAACAGTTTACAAATATTTTCTCCCATTTTGTAGGTTATCTCTTCATTGTGTTGATTATTTTCTTTCTTTTCTTTAAAGCTTTTTGGTTTGATATAATCCCATTTGTTTATTTTTGCTTCAGTTCCCTGTGCTTTTGAGGTCTTATAAAATCTTTTCCCACACCAATGTCCTGAAGTGTTTTTCTTATATTTTCTTCTAGTAGTTTTATATTTTGGGGCCCTACACGTAGGTCTTTAATCCATTTTGAGTTGATTTTTGTATCAGGTGAGAGATGGGGTCTAGTTTTATTCTTCTGCGTATGGATATCTAGTTTTCTCAGCACTGTTTATTGAAGAGAATGTCTTTTCCCCACTAAATGTTCTTGGAGCCATCATCAAAAAGCAGTTGGCTCTAGATGCATGGATTAATTTCTGGGTTGTCTATTCTGTTCCATTAGCCTGTGTGTCTCTTTATGCCAATAACATGCTGCTTTGGTTACTATAGCTTTGTAGTATATTTTTAAGTCTGGTAGTGTGATACCTCCAGCATTGTTCTTTTTGCTGAAGATTGCTTTGGCTATTCATATGGCTTTTGTGGTTCCATATCAATTTTAAGGTTGTTTTATGTATTTCTGTGAAGAATGTCACTGGTATTTTGATAGGGATTGCAGTGACTCTTTAAATTGCTTTGGGTAGTATGGCCATTATAGCAATATTCTTCCAGTTCATGAACATGGGATATCTTTCTATTTGTTTATATCTTCTTCAGTTTCTTTCATTAATGTTTTGTAGTTTTCCTTGTAGGGATTTTTCACCTTCTTGGTTAAATTTATTCTCAGGTATTTACTTTTTTTTGTAGTTATTATAAATGGGACTGTTGTTTTCTTTTTCAGCTAGTTTGTTGTTCCTGTATAGAAATGCTACTGATTTTTCTATGTTTATTTTGTATCCTGCAACTTTTCTGACTTTGTTGATCAGTCCTAAAAGTTTTTTGGTGGAGTCTTTAGTTTTTTCTATATATAAGATCATGTCATCTGTTAACGGGATAATTTGACTTCCTCCTTTCCAATTTGGATGCCCTTTCTTTCTTTCTCCTGCTAATAGCTCTGGCCAGGACTTCCAGTACTTTGTTGAGTAGGAGTGGTGAGAATGAGCATCCTTGTCTTGTGTCAGTTCTTAGAGGAAGAGCTTTCAACATTTTCCCATTCAGTGTGATACTAGCTTTGTCATATATGGCCTTAATTATGTTGAGGTATGTTCCTTCTATACCTAATTGATTTAGGATTTTTTATCATGAAAGGATGTTGGATTTTATCGAATGCTTTTTCTGCATCTATTGAGGTGATCATATGTTTTGGTCCTTCATTCTATTGATGTGATGGATCACTTTATGCATTTGCATATATTGAACCATCCTTGCATCCTGGGATGGATTCCATTTGATCATGGCGTCTGATCTTTTTGATGTGATATTTGGTTTGGTTTGTTAGCATTTTGTTGAGGATTTTTGCATCTGTGTTCCTTAGGGATATTGGTCTGTAGTTTTCTTTTTTTGTTGTCTTTTCCTGATTTTTGGTATCAGAGTTATGCTGCCCTCATAGAATGAGTTTGGAAGAATTACCTCCACTTCAATATTTTGGAATGGTTTGAGAAGAATTGGTATTAGTTCTTTAAAAGTTCAATAGAATTCAGCTGTGAAGACATCTGGTCCTGGACTTTCTTTGCTGGGAGATGTCTTATTCTTGTTATTATTGGTTTGCTCATGCTTTCTGTTTCTTCCCACTTCAATCTTAGTATGTTGTATGTGTTTATTTATTTGCTAATTTACTGACATATATTTGACATAATAGTCTCTAATGATGCTTTGCATTTCAGTGGTGTCAGTTGTGAAGACTTCTTTTTCTATTGATTTAAAAAAAATGGTTTTATTAACACCAAAGGGATGAATACAGTTCTCAAATAGAAGCTCCAAGAGCCCTTGTTTCATTGGCAATCAGGTGTGCTGTCTTTTGTGTGGTTATTATTTCTATGGTAACTGAGGCCTACTGACCTAACAAAGGGTCACTGACTCTAGAATCCAGTTACAGATTATTGAACAAAGGCATTTTCTTGGGAGGATGTACTGAAAATTGACAGAAGGCAGGGAGAGAACGGGAAATATACCCATGGGGCTGCAGCCTGATACTCTGCTGGCTTTTGCTTTGGGAGTTTAGGACACCATGGCTGCTTCCTCCATGACTGTGGGAAGGAGAGATCTTAAAGAAAGGAGCAAATTACAGGGAGAAGGGAAGGGAATTCATATAAAGTAAAACCATAAAACAAGGTAACTGTTTCTTTTAACAATTCATTTGTTCATTGTAGGTGCTGGGTGCAGCAGTTAACAAATCAAAGACCCTGTCTGTCTTGGTGAAGCTTGCTTTTTAGTCCAGGAGTGAGACAGGAAAGAAAACAAGAAACAAATATGTAACATTGTGTTAGTGACATGTGCTATGAAGACAAAGCAGGGACAGGAAAGTGAGTGACGACGGGCTTGTTCCTCTGGGTAGATGGGGAGGATGCTGGCCAGGATGATGTGAGATCAGGAGGATAGAGTGGGTATTTGGGAAAAAAGTGTTCCAGTAAGAAAGAGGAGTATGAGCAGGACCCAGGATGGGAGACACCTGATTGTTTGAGGACCAGGAAGGAAGCCAGCGTGACTAGCTGCCAAGAGGAGAAAAAGAAGGATCATGACTAGAGGTCAAAGAAGGGTCATGTGGGGCCAGATCATGTTGGAAGCATTGGAACAATTTTATGAATGGTAGTGGAATGCACATTTTAATGGGATTATCCTGGCTGCCATCTGGAGAGTAGGGGAAGGGTGGAAGGTTGGCCATGCCTTCCCAGGTGAGAGATAGTCTCGGCTTGACAAAGGTGTTAACAAAGACAGTGAGAAATCAGCGGATTCTGGGTATATTTTAAAGGGATTGCCAGTTAGATTTCCTAATGGATTGGATGTGGGGTGTAAGGGAAAGAGAGGGTGACTACAAGGTTCTTGTCCTGGTCAACAGGAAGAATAGAGTTGTCGGTACCTGAGACAGGGAAGACGGAAAGGAAGAGATTCTGTGTGTCTGAGGTGAACATGTTCATCCCACTCGCCTGTCCAGCTGGAGACCTGAGCATTTCCTCCATGCATGTGTCCAGCATTCGGGGTGAGGTCTGGAAGGGGAATGCAGGTGTGGGACTTGTCATCATTTACGTGGCATTGAAAGCGTTTGGATTCTGAAAACAATCACCAGGGAAGGGATGTAGGTAGAGAAGAAGACGGACGGCCAGTTCATTTCTGTCTCCTTCGAAGGGGAGACCTTGAGGGGCTGCTCGCTGTGTCCGTGCTGCTGTAGTTGCTCAGGACAGTTTTGGAATTTCTCTGTTGGAATTGCTTTTCACCTTGAAGGGTATGTTTTTGAAACCATTGTTGTTTGTGGATGGATTTAATCTTAAGGAACCTCTACAAATCATGCCCATCCAAATATGGAATTTAATAATGTGGGTAATAAATCAGAATAATAGAGTTTTCTTTATTAAAGTGAAATGTGACTATAATGCTGTTAGTTACATTGACTTTTGTTTGATTTTTTCCTTTGGCTGAAACTTGCCCTTGGGGCAAAACACTCTGAGTGCTCGGGCTGGTCAGGAGCGTAGTCTGTCTTGTTCCCGTGGAAACCCCGTGCCCGTGTGGGTTCTGGCATAGACTTACTGTCCTGAACACAGTCACTTACATGAAAGCTGCCCTCATTTGGCCTCCCCTCCTCGCTCTGGCATTGCAAGCGGAAAGCACAGATCTTCCAGTAGGAATTTCTCTAACCAAAGTTCTGATGTCCTGTCTGATCTCACCTCCTCTCCTTGCTCTCCTGCTCCAGCAATGCCTCAGTCTTACCGAGACCTCAGCTTATGTATCCCACCACCTTTCTATGTTCTCACATCCCTCCTGTCTTCACTCCCCAGCTCACCTGGCAGTGACTCCCAGGCTTCTGTTCTCACTGCTCTTTTGCAAACACTTGGAACAGCCCCCTTGCGCCTCTGTCTCCATCAGAACTGGCTGCAGCAGCCCAAACTTGGCTGAACCCAACTGCACATCAGCACTTGGGCAGCTGCCCCGGAGCAAGAGAGAATCCCACAGCCACACACCTGAAACGCGGCGGCCACAGACTCAGCTGTGCACTCAGCACGGCCCGCGGCCCTACTCTGCTCCCTTAGTAAGTTTTTGTTCGTGTTCTCTGGGACAGATACTTCTTCAAATAACCACCCTCCTGCCACTGCCCCTTGTCTTCATAAGTTATGAAGACAGAAGCCACCAGAGGGCGTGTCCTCAGCTCCCCACCCCCAGATCTATAACACCAGCTCGGGTACCATCCCTAACAGGGCTCGACTTCACCTGTGGAGGTTATCCCCTCTCTCGCATCCTGCCTTTCCCACTCTGAGCATCACTCCTGCTGATACTACAAACTTACACGCCCTAAAAAAGAAAATCATATCCCTTGGCTCCCCGTCCTCTGTAGCTTCCTCTGCTTCCCGTAGGTGGAGCCACCCGGACTGCCTCCCAGTCACGCCTTCCTCCTGACTCAGCCTGGCTCCCAGACACCCCTACAGGGAGACTCCTCTTAGGACCACCAGCCAGCTCCAGGCTCGATGTTTCTCCATCCTCCTCCTCCCCAGTCCTCCTGGGAGCCCTTGATCCAGCCGGCTCCTCTCTGGGCAGTCCTGCTCTCCATCATGCCACTTTTTTTGTTTTTGTTTTCCTGCTCCTTCAATGGCCGTTTTTGGTGACTCTCCTTTCTTGGCTTCTGTTCCCTGTCTTACCTATAAATCAGTGGTTTATTTTTTTAAAATTTATTTATTTATTTTTGAGACAGAGTCTCACTCTGTTGCCTGGGCTAGAGTGCCGTAGCATCAGCTTAGCTCACAACAACCTCAAACTCCTGGGCTCAAGCGATCCTTCTGCCTCAGCCTCCTGAGTAGCTGGGGCTACAGGCATGTGACACCACACCCAGCTAATTTTTACTGTTTTTAGTAGAGATGGGGTCTCACTCTTGCTCAGTCTGGTCTTGAACTCCTGAGCTCAAGCGATCCTCCCACCTTGGCTTCCCAGAGTGGCAAGATTACAGATGTGAGTCACTGCACCTGGCCTAAATCAGTGATTCTTAACCAGAAACAATTTTTCTTCTCTGGGGACAGTTGTGATCGTCACTACCAGGGACTGGGGGTAGGTAGTTTCATCTACTTCCATCACTTTAAATATATTTTAAATGTCAGTGACTCCTGAATTTTGATCTCTAGCCTGTACCTCTCCCCTGAGCCACACATTTGTGTGTCCAGCTGCTTTATGTGGCATCTCTACCTGGAGGTCTCTTGAGCATCTTGGGATGTCCAGCATGGAGCTCTCGATAATTCCCCTCTGAAATCTGTTCCTCCCTGGCTTTCTCTGTCGCAGTAAATGGTAGCACCTCCACCCAGTGGCTCGGGCCAGAAACCTGGGAGTTGTCCTGATCCTCTTTACTCCCTTCAGCTAACCAGAGGCAGGTTCCACCAGATGCCCTGAACGTGTTTAATGATCCGTGTGCAGCGGCCCATCTTAGGTAAATGCCATCTCTCTTGCCCTCTAGCAGGTCTCCTGCTTCCACTCTGCCACTCGCTGTGCACACTCACCTTCTCAGCACAAGTCAGATCACGCCACTTTCCTCAGACCTCTAGTGGCTCCCTCTTGCCCTCAAAGGGAAAAATCCAAGCCTCTGTTACCATGAGCTGCCACATGCTGCTGATGTTGCCCTGCATGACCCCACCCCGGACTCACCCTAGACCCTCAGCCCCCACCCTGCAGTCCCCCCGTCTGTCTGCTCCGTGTTTTGATCAAACCGAGCCCTGTCTCACCTCAGGGCCCTTCGCAGGTGCCTTTCTCTGCCTGAAGTAAACACAAAGGCTCATTAGTTGAATCCTCATGAAATAAAATCTTGGTTTAGCTTTGATGGTTTTCTCAATATGCAAACACATTACCTCTCCCAGAATCTCTGGCTGTGAATTTTGGGTTTGTGTTTGGAATTTCCAGAGGTGCTGTGTCCTTTTCCTAGGGCAACGTGTAGCCTTGTCCCCAAACTGCGTCAATTGGTTTGTGAGAGGTAGATCCACCCATTGCTTTTTCTTTATTCCTTTTTTTAAATTATGAAAACAGCACCACCAAGTCAAATACTCACTTGGAGGTAAGTATGAAGTGAAAGTCTTCTCCTGCCTCCTGCTTACTCCATCCCAGTCTTCTTCCCTGGATAACGTCCCTTTTAGATTCATCCCCTTTAGATTTTTAAACCCAAGATTACGTTAAAAGAACCAGAGATATGTTCTCTCAGTCATCTCAAGGGCAGTAACACCCATGTCTCTGGGGGCTGCCCAATTTCTGAAAATCAGATTTGGGGCAACAGTACTAGTGAGAAGAAGAAAGATTATGGTAAAACCAGGAATTTATTTTTTTCTCATCCTTATAACCAAATTATGTTATTCAAGGACCTACTGTGCAGTACATTAGAAGTGCATGACATATGGGTTGGGTACTGTCAGAAGAATGGATCTGATTCATTCTCTTACATTATTTTGTAGCTCTAATTTTATGTAACCTTTAGAAGGAATTTACATGATCTGTTTTTAATGCCTGAGGCTTTTTTTTCTTTTCCTTCCTCCCTTTTCTTTTCTTTCTTCCTTCCTTCCCTCTTTTTTTTTTTGAGACAAGATCTCACTCTTTTGCCCCAGCTAGAGTGCAATGGCGTCATCACAGCTCACTGTAGCCTCAAACTCCTGGGCTCAAGCCATCCTCCTGCCTCAGCCTCCCAACTCACTGGGACTAGAGTTGTGTGCCACCATGCCTGGTTAATTTACTATTTTTTGTAGAGATGGAAATCTCACTATTGCCCTGGTTGGTCTCAAACTCCTAGCCTCAACTGATCCTCCTGCCTTGACCTCCCAAAGTGCTAGGGATTATAGGCTGAGCCACCGTACCTGGCCTGTAAGGCTATTTTTAATGCCTAATATCTGAAAAGATGTAACATGAGTTGTATATTTACAAGTATGTAATAATAGTGTTCACTCCTTGGCCTCCCTTGTGGGGGTCTACCTCCTCATCTCTTGTAACCTTGGACCTTTCTTCTGTGCTTGTTCCCTGGCTAGCCTCATGCAGCCTTACGGCTTCATTTCTGCAGAGACCTTTTTCCTGAACTCTCTGGACTTTTCTATTCCAGCTGCCTACCCTCCTTGTCCACTGGGATGTCTGAAAGCCTCCCCAGACTTCCTCCATCCCAGATTGCTCCTCATGGCCCACTCTCCTTTCACCTCCCACCTCAGGCAGCAGCAGCTTGGTCAATCCAGTTGCTCAGGCCACCAGCCTGGGAGGCATACCGACTGCTCTCTCTCACATCTGTGTTGTTTCTACGCTCAGAATAGACACTGGAATTGGACTACTCCTTAGACGTGTACCAGCACCCACCCCACCCCTCCATGCCACCATGGTCCTGCACCTTGAACCTTTCACCAGCCTCCAGATGGTCTCTCTGCTGCCAGACCTGCCTCCTTCAGTCTCTTCTCAACACAGCAGCCAGTCTTGCTGCTGAGTTGTAAGTCAAATAGTCTCTCCTCTACTCAGAATCCTTCAGTGGCTCTCTGTCTCCTGAGTAAAAGCCAGAGTCCTTTCAATGACAAGGCCCTACAAGACAGGCCCCTCCCCAGCCTCTGTCCTGTCCCACCCCTGTGCCCATTCCTGTGGGCTGGGCCTTGCTGCTCTGGTAGCTTGTGGACATCCTCCTGCCCCAGGGCCTTTGGCTCTTCCTGTTTTCTGCCTGAGATGTAGTTCCCCCAAATGTCAAATGGCTCATTCTCTTACCTTCTTCAGGGCTTGTTCAGAGATCACTCTAGTCAGACCTTCCCTATCCCTGTTGAAAGGTTGCAAACCATTCCCTGTTTTTTTCTATAAAGCACTTTTACCTTCCAATATACTTTACACAGTTCCTGTTTATTTACTGTCTGCCTCTTGCACTACTAGAATGTAAATTTCTTGGGGGCAGGGATTTATGTCAGTTTTTTATTGGCATAAATATTTGTTAAATGAAGACATTTGACTACATAGCTGTTAAATTCTTTGTACTACAAAAGACTACATAAACGAAGTTAATTATTTATTGTATCTTATCTTTTACATTTTTAATAAAGGATCACATGGGCAACTAAGTTGACCCTTGAACAACATGAGGGTTAGGGGTACCGACCCCCCCATGTGGCCGAACTTTTGAGTTTAACTTTTGACTCCCCAAAAGTGTAACTATTAATACTGACAGCCTACTGTTGACCAGAAGCCTTACCAATAACATAAAGTTGATTAACACATATTCTGTATATGTATTATATACTGTATTCTTATAATAAAGTAGGCTACAAAAGAGAAAATGTTATTAAGAAAATGATAAGGAAGAGAAAAATCTACTTACTGTTCATTAAGTGGAAGTGGCTCATTATAGAGATCTTCGTCCTTGTTGTCTTCTCATTGAGTAGGCTGAGGAGGTAGAGGAGGGTTGGTCTTGCTGCCTCATGGGTGACAGAGGCAGAAGAAAATCTGCATTTAAGCGGACCCACACAGTTCAAACCTGTGTTGTTCAAGGGTCAACTGTATATAAAGTGCTCCTAATAATTAATAAGCATAAGGCAAACAACCGTATAGAAAATTGGATAAAGGACATTAGAAATACAGAAATGCCAATAAAGATGAAAAATGCTCAGCCTCTTTCATAATTAGGGAAATACAAAATGGAACAGTAAGATATTTTTCATTTATTAGTTTGGCACAAATTACAAAGATTGATAGCATCTAGTGTGACAAAGGGTGTAGTACATAGATGCTCTCATATGGTGAAAGTGCATGCTGGCCCAGACTTTTAGAGACATTGTGATGTCAGTATATATTCTTCTTTGGTATTCCATCTACCTACCTAGCTTATAAAATACTTGTAGATATGCACAGAGATATAAATAATAAGGCTATTCAATGTCGCATTGTCATTAGAAAAAAATGGGCAATAATTTAAATACTCATCAAGTCTTTAAATCACATAAGATCTTATTAAAGGTCTAAACAAAATTATAGTTATAGTAGTAATCTAAGAGAAAGAATCTAGTCCAATTTGACAGTATCCATTCCAAATTTTATGAATTTTTATTATGTTATACTTTAGTTTTAAACCAAAAAGTGATCATCTGTAAAACCTTACTGAAAATACACTAGCATAGGTAGTGTACTCATACTATGAAATATTACGCAGCTTTGAAAAGAATCTAGATGTATATAGATCTACATGTATATATGGGAAAGATTTCTAAGTTGTCAGTTAAATGAAAAAACCAAGTTGCAATATATGTATGTTATAATTCCATTTATGGAACAGCAAACTCAAATGCTATTTTATAAGTACATTAATACATGAAAAGAAACAGTTAACAGGTTTCCTTTGGGTTGAGAAGTTGGGCAGAAGGAGATACTCTCTATATCCTCTATATTTGAGTTTTTACCAAGAAAAGTATTTATGATTAATTTTATAATAAAACAAAGTATATTAATTGTCCTCTCCAATTAGAGTGTCTTAGAAAGTGATAAAAAGCATCTAAATTCGAGGTTGCTGAGAAATGATTCTTAAGCAATCCATGACTTGCAACTTTTTAACATTGGAGATCTCAAATATTTGCAAGTGATCCTAAAGACTAATATTTCATAAATAATATCTAATAATCTCTTATTTACCTGAGGCACAAAAATGAATTTGACCTAAGTGAGGTTTTAGGAGGAAATTATGAGGGCTGTGGCTGAGCTTCTCCCACCGTTTATCAGTAAATGTATAGTAGCAGCTTCTCTAAAGCAAACAATCTTTTTTTTTTTTTTTTTTTTTTTTTTTGAGACAGAGTCTCGCTTTGTTGTCCAGGCTAGAGTGAGTGCCGTGGTGTCAGCCTAGCTCACAGCAACCTCAAACTCCTGGGCTTGAGCGATCCTTCTGCCTCAGCCTCCCGAGTAGCTGGGACTACAGGCATGAGCCACCATGCCCGGCTAATTTTTTATATATATATCAGTTGGCCAATTAATTTCTTTCTATTTATAGTAGAGACGGGGTCTCGCTCTTGCTCAGGCTGGTTTTGAACTCCTGACCTTGAGCAATCCGCCCGCCTCGGCCTCCCAAGAGCTAGGATTACAGGCGTGAGCCACCGCGCCCGGCCAGCAAACAATCTTTTTAGGTGAAAACCGGGCATAGAAAACCATATGCTGGTGCTGGTGATGACCACACAGGGGAAGGAAGTGATGGATCTTAACAAAAAGTGAGAATTTTTTGTATTAGAGTCAAATATTACATTCAGTGTAGAGTGTTCAATATGAAAAATTTATGAAGTTTATTTTTTTTCCTCCTCGAGACAGGGTTTTGCTATGTTGACCATGCTGGTCTTGAACTCCTAGGCTCAAGGGATCCTCTTGCTTCAGACTCCTGAGTACAGGTGTGGTCCACCCCACTTGGCTAAAATTTATGACGTTTTTCGTGAATATAACAGCCACAGCTAAAAGTAGCTTTTTAATAGAATTTATGATCTGTAGTGAAATTTCTCAAATTGAGGTCTAGAGAAGGTCCTGAAAGATTTCTCTTTTTTTTTTTTTTTTTGAGACAGAGTCTCACTTTGTTGCCCACGCTAGAGTGAGTGCCGTGGCGTCAGCCTAGCTCACAGCAACCTCAAACTCCTGGGCTCAAGCGATCTTCCTGCCTTAGCCTCCCAAGTAGCTGGGACTACAGGCATGTGCCACCGTGCCCGGCTAATTTTTTTTGTATATATATTAGTTGGCCAATTAATTTCTTTCTATTTAAAGTAGAGACGGGGTCTCCCTCTTGCTCAGGCTGGTTTTGAACTCCTGACCTTGAGCAATCCACCTGCCTGGGCCTCCCAGAGTGCTAGGATTATAGGCGTGAGCCACCGCGCTCGGCCTAAGATTTCTCTTTTGAATGTAACAAGTCAACTATAGTTATCTTGGTTTTTCCATAATGAACCTCCCTTCTTAGATCCAGAAGACATCTTAAAGTCCTCTGGTCCATTTCCATTTTATATCATATTTTTGAGTTTTCAAAGAAAATGTTTTACATTGTAAAAGAACAATATATGTTCATTTTGGAAAAGTTGGAAAATACCAAAAGATATGAAGAAAAAAGAAAATCACCCAGAATCTCACCACATAAAGACAACTAAAACATTAGTGTATTTCCTATTCCTAGTAGAGATTTCTATGTACTGTAATTTAATTTTGTCTTGCTTTATGCATTTGAACAATATTATATGAACAGTCTCATATCCTTTTCATTTATAATATTACTTTTATGTGTTATAACTCTATAAATATATACATTTTGGTGACCACGTAATATATTAAGTGATCTTACCAAAAGTTCCTTAACTATTACCAATCTTTTGATAGGTTCCAGTTTATGTTTTATAAATAATACCAGATTTTTATCCCTAGAGATTTTTATCTATTTTGGATTCTTGCCTTATATTTTAGGTTTAGATGTTAAAGTCTCTTGATAAATAATGCCAGGAATTGCTTTTGAAGATCATAAACTTGAACCTTTATTTTTATGACACAGCTCACTGAGTGCAGAACCAGCTGGGCGGGGATCTCCTGACTTCTGAGCCTGTTCTCTCTTTCGTAATCTTCTGCCTTCTCTCTTGGGATTTAAATAAAAGATCAGAGGTTTTTTCTTTAATTATAATGCTTCCTGCAAGCCTTTTCTAGCTAATGAAAAGTGAAACTCCAGCGCAATGATGTGCAGTTGCTCTTCTATTAGGTGTGGACTATACGGAAAGGTCTAGTGTTTGTGCAGCATCTCAGCTCCTGCTTTTATAGTGAAGTAACACAAAACCACAGAATGCATAAAAATGTTTTTCTTTTTTTTTTTTTGAGACAGAGTCTCGCTTTGTTGCCCAGGCTAGAGTGAGTGCTGTGGCGTCAACCTAGCTCACAGCAACCTCAAACTCCTGGGCTTGAGTGATCCTTCTGCCTCAGCCTCCCGGGTAGCTGGGACTACAGGCATGCGCCACCATGCCCGGCTAATTTTTTATATATATATCAGTTGGCCAATTAATTTCTTTCTATTTATAGTAGAGACGGGGTCTCGCTCTTGCTCAGGCTGGTTTTGAACTCCTGACCTTGAGCAATCCGCCCGCCTCGGCCTCCCAAGAGCTAGGATTACAGGCGTGAGCCACAGCGCCCGGCCAAAAATGTTTTTCTTACATAGAAATATTCCTATTTATGACTTTTAAAATGAATGAGTAATATTGTCACATGTGATGGGCAGGGGTGGACTCCCTCAAGGCTTTTCGGGGTCTCCACTTGCCTGTTTTTCTGGTCCTCTCTGCTGCTGCCTCCTTTTCCCCACCACTGTGCAGCGGTGAGCTGGAACTGGCCATATGCTTGCCGCGCTGTGCCTGCATGTGCAAGGTCTCCCCTTCTGATCCGCACATCCCCATCGTCCCATAAGACCAGCTTCAAGGAGCTTCCAGCAGCTTGACCAGGGTCAGTCCCTTATGCCATTTCCTGTGCTTGCCTTGCTGAATGCTGTGTTTGCTCATGCTTGTCTTTATAACTGGACTCAGAGTAGCTCTAGGACTGGGTCTGTGTCTCATGAATTTCTGCATCTTCTGCCACTGCAAAGATATTTGTTGTTTCTCAGCTCACTAACTTTAGGTGAAAGTCTAGGTTTGATGTCCTCCATGGCTTTGTTTCAGGTCTTTCTGTCTGAGTGGAAGGAACAAAAAGTTGCTCTTTCACGGCTCACCAGTCTGGAGATGAAAGACGATTTCCTCCATGGACTGCAGATGCTAAAATCTCTACAGAGCAAACGTGTTGTCACACTGCTTGGCTACTGTGAGGATGACAACACTATTCTTACTGAATATCACCCCTTAGGCTCCTTGAGCAACTTGGAGGAAACACTAAACCTTTCCAAGTACCAGCATGTGAACACATGGCAGCACCGCCTGCAGCTAGCCATGAACTACGTCAGCATCATCAACTACCTGCACCAGAGCCCCCTGGGCACACTGGTCATGTGCGACTCCAACGACCTGCCCAAGACACTCTCCCAGTATCTGCTGACCAGTAACTTCAGCATTGTGGCAAATGACTTGGACGCCTTGCCCCTGGTGAACCACAGCTCCAGGACGCTGGTGAAGTGCGGCCACAGGGAGCTGCATGGAGATTTTGTGGCTCCGGAGCAACTGTGGCCCTTTGGAGAGGATGTGCCTTTTCGTGATGATCTCATGCCCTCCTATGACGAGAAGATCGACATCTGGAAGATCCCAGATGTTTCTGGTTTCCTTCTGGGGCACGTTGAAGGGAGCGACATGGTTCGATTCCATTTGTTTGATATTCATAAGGCATGTAAGAGCCAGACTCCTGCAGAAAGACCCACTGCTCAGGACATTCTGGACACTTATCAGAAGGTTTTGAATTCACTCAGAGATACCGTGATGTCTCAGACAAGAGAAATGCTATAAAAACCAGTCCAGTCATTGAAGGATGGGATTTAAGAACTGAATGGAAGTTACAGCAGTTCTACTCTGACACTGGAGTTTTTTGCCTGAGTCTCATGTTTCGTTGCTTTTTGCCGTTTAGCCATGTGGTTCTTTTTCTACATCCCTGTGCACGTTTGAGCGTGTTCTGCTTATCCTGGCCACCTGGTTGCAAATTGCTAGGCAAGAACAAACCAGGCCTGATTTAAATCTGGCTTTGCCTTTCTAATGCCAGTTGCTTCCTGGTGAAGATGTGGAGAAGCCGTGAATCTAATCAGTATTCAAGGGAAGTAACAAAAATGTAGCCACACTAATAAATGGATTTATAAGTTTGCAAGAAACACATATAAAGAAGAGTTTTAAATGGTAGTGCATGAAAGAAACAGAGTAGTTCTTCAGGGAAAATTTTTCCTATAATTTTTAAAATGTATTGCTGTAATCAAATGGATGTGCAATAAGTGTTGGTGAGGATTATGGAAAAATTGAAACCCTCATACATTGCTGGTGGGAATGAACCATGGTACAGCCACTCTGGAAAACACTCTGGGGGTTCTTCAAAAAGTTAAAAATAGAGTTACCATATGATCCAGCAATTTTACTCCCAAGTATATACCCAAGAGAATTGAAAACATATGTCCACATACAAAAAAAAAAAGTCCATATTATATATGAATATTCACAGTAGCATTATTCATAATAGACAAACAGTAAAAATAATCCAAATTCACTAGCTGATGAATGGATAAACAAAATGTGGTATATCCACACAATGGAATATTATACAGCCAAAAAAGTGAAGTTCTGACACATGTTACAACATGGATGAACCTTGAAATATATGTTAAGCTAGACACAAAAGACTATATATTATACTATTGCATTTATCTGAAGTGTCCAGAATAGGAAAGTCTGTACAGATAGATCAGTATTTGCCAGGGTCTGGCAGGCGGCTGAGGTTGAAGGATGGGAATTGACTGCTAATGGATACAGGGTTTCTTTTGTGGTGATGAAAATGTCCTGAAATTATGTAGTGTGATGGTTGCACAACTCTGTATGTACTCAGTACTCACTGAATTATAAAAAGGGGAAATTTTGTGGTATGAATTATAACTCAATAAAGCTGTTATTAAAAAAAAATTGTGCCACTAGCCTGTGTGTCCTTTCACCTGGCATAGACACCACGTAGTGTTGTTCTGCTTGGCTTTACAAAGATATTCCGCGACATGCAGCCCCCTCCAGCCTGATTTTTTGAGACTTACCCAAGCGTTTCCGCTGCTGTGTGGCAACCCGCTGTTTCCCGCGGACGACACTCAGACTGCGCACGGGCGTCTGGCAAAGCGCGCAGCGCGTGTCCCTCGTGCGCGTGCGGGCGTCTCCGGGTGTGGCGGACCTGCGAGCGCCCGGGGCTGCTTCAGGGGCCACAAGTGGCTCTCCGCCTCTAAGTAGCGTCTCTCCCTCGCGGCAGGAAACGCGCGGGCGGCCGCTGGCGGGCAGACGCTCTCGGGGCGGCGGGGAGGCCCGGCCCGCAGCAAGGCCGCCGGCCTGTAGGAGGCGCGCTCCCGGAGGTCGCTCTTCCCGGAACCTGGGCTCTGCTCTCCCAGGGGCTCCCCAGGGCAGGGCCAGGCCGATCCCGCCCGGCCCGCGCGGCCCCGCCTCCCGGCGCTGACTCCGCGGCTGCGACGGCGGCCCCGGGCGATGACGGGCGCGGCCCGGTGCGCCGCGGACGGCGGGAGAGGACGCGGCGGCCGGGGACGGCGGGGGAGGAGGCCGGCATGCGCGGGGCGAGCGCGGCGGCCGGCGCTGGCCGCGCTGCTGCTGGCCGCGTCCGTGCTGAGCGCCGCGCGGCTGGCCCCGGCGGCTCCCGGAGCGCGGCGCGCAGGGCGCGTCCGCGCGAGGTGAGTGCGCGGCCGGCCCGCGGGGCGGGGCGGGGCGGTCCTCCCGGGCTAGTTTTGTCCCGACCGCGCCGCTGGGCGCCCCGGACCGGGGTCTTTCCGCCCGCGCTCGTTTGCGGGAGGTGGCGGGGCCGGGGAGGAGCCCGGGCGGCGCCCTCCGGGACGCCAAGCGCGGGAGGGCGCGGGGCGTGTGCCCGGCCTCGCTCCCGTGCCCGCCCCTCGCCGCGGGAGCCTGCGTCTTCTGTGCGGTTTGTGTAAGTAGCAGAAGGCCTTTGATGCGGGGCCTGCTGCTCCACAGACGCAAAGCCACGTAGGAGACGCGCTGGCCGCGAAGGGTTCGCCCCGACCGCCGTTCCCGCCAGCCCACGGTGCGGGGCGCTGTGGCACGAACGAGGGCCTCGGCCGAGGGCCTTCCGACGGGACGTGGCGGCCGCGGTGATGAGACCCACCGGCCTCCTGCGGTGGGAACCCGCGGGGCGCGGGAGCGCCGCCCGGCTCGGAACCCCAAGTCGGAGATGGCGTTTCCCGTGTGCGCCTGGATTAAACTCCCGAGTAAATGTCCGACGACGTGCAACAAAAACTCAGTGGAAAGCGGAGCGCCGTTCAGTCTCGGGCGAACCTTCCCTAGGCGAATTTTACTTCTAAGGTGACGGAGGAGCCGCGGAGGCCGGGGTTTGCTGGGTGTCTGCAGAAGCCACAGCCGCAGAGCTGTGGTCCTGTGCTTCGGGGCGATCGTCCGCCGCTGGCTGGGGAGGCGCGCGGCTCGCCGGGCGGTCCCCTCGCTGGCTCCTAACTCCCTGGGGGAAATGGTGGAACGTGCGAATTCCAGGGCCTCCCTCTAGACCCTTGGAACGAGGATCCCCAGCCCCCTAGGAGATCATTTTCACCAGGCCCGCCCCAGAGGGTGGCTTGGTCAGGGACTGTGGGATCGGTGAAGCGTGCAAACGCCCCTCCGTCGGCAGTTGGGGAGGGTCTATCACCTGAGAAGGTGAGAGTCACCTCCTTCTCTCCCCCTCCTTCCATCCCTTTATCTGTATCATGATACAGGGTTTTTGGTGTGTGTGTGAAGTTCGAACTGCCCCACTTCCCCAGTCACTTTCTTGTAGGAGGCAGTGAATTTTGGAAAAACATCCTCAGCTGATTACATTTTGTCTGCACGCCTCCCTCCAGGCCCCAATCTCATACACTCCCCACCTTATGAAATTGAACCGGCCCCAAGAAGTTACGTAATCTGCCCAGTCACAACTTGTCAAGGACAGGTTCCCTCCAACTGTTTTTCTTTGTATTTTAGCACCAGTTAATAATGATACTTCTATTAGGAAAAAGGGTGGTTCGTAAATAGTAATTTTATATAGTGAGGGGGAATATACTAGTATTCTCAAGTGTTCCACCCCCAGAACCTTCAGGAAGCTAAGTTAAGAGGAAAGCCAGGCTTTCCATGCCACCTGGAGCCCATGTGGAGCTGGACAACTTCCTACTAAGAACTTCATATAATTAGAGGACTCAATGTTTACTTGAAAAAAAAAATTAGGTAGGATACGTCTTTAAAGGCCAGGTGCAGTGACTCACGCCTGTAATCCTAGCACTCTGGGAGGCCGAGGATCGCTTGAGGTCAGGAGTTCCAGACCAGCCTGAGCAAGAGCGAGACCCCATCTCTACCAAAAATACAATAATTAGCCGGTAGTGGTAACTTGCACCTGGGGTCCGAGCTACTCTGTGGGCTGAGACAGGAGGATGGCTTGAGCCCAGGAGTTTGCGGTTGTAGCGAGCTGTCATGACACCACTGCACCCTAGCCTGGATAACAGAGCAAGATTCTGTCTCAAAAAAAGGGGAGGGTATATGTCTTTAAAAGTGTGCCCAACAAAGATAAGTCATGACCAGAGAGCTAGATCCAGAAATTAAATATTTGGAAATGAAATAAAGGTATAACATGCAAGCAGCACATTTACCCAACACTATTGAAAGGTGACTTTATTTTATTTCCTTACCAAGACAGTGTAGACGAGAAGAGGAGGAGTGGTTCTTTTGTCTGTGATGCTCCATGTATTGCTCTGGTGGTTCTTAGGTCAGCTGTGTGGGAAGGTGATAGCTTTTTCTTGAAGCAGAGCATCAGGCTCAATTTTGAGGTCATGTGTGATGGCTTAGTAATTGGATCCTTTGGGTGTGTGAGTGATTATGACTAATTTCTTTTTAAAAAAATACATTCAAATAACAAAAAAATAGAAAGGTGTCAAGATCTGCTTACACTTTCATTCTCTAGCTGTGGTCTTCACCCTTGGCTGTATATTAGAATCCCCTTGGGAGGTTTGGTGGTGGTTTGGGGAAATATTAAAAAGTCATGCTGACTGGGGAGAGATTCTAATTTAATTGGTCTGAAGTGGGGTCAGGACATTGGTGTGTTTTGTTGTTTTAAGCTGCTTGGGTGATTCTGATGTTGAGGTAGGACTGAGTCCCTCTGTACCCTCCAAATAACATAATTAGCAATGATGACAAGAGTTTTCAGAGTCTCAAATTGATATGGAAAAATCTAAGTATAAAACAAGAACTTTACCCCACCCACCACTAAAGATTCTTAGAAATATGAGTAAAAACAGTAGTTATTTTAATTGTGAAGGATGATTATGGGTAGAAAAATTACAAAGGAAAAGGTCAACAGATAGGGACTATACATTTGAAAATGGAAACCATCAAAACCGAACAAGGGAAATGAAAAAGAAATATCTTAAAACAATTATGACAAATGATGCAATGTCTTTACTATGTAGATAAATTATACAAATATCTAATAAGATCTCAGGGGTTAAGTAAAGTGATTAAATAAATAAATATTCCAAAAATTCACATGGAAGGAAAATACTGATTGTAAACATTTGGAAAACATCTTCAAACTTGATAATCATTAATTCAAAACTAAAATAATAAGGAAGTGATGTTTTCTATGCATCAGTCTAAAAACTGAGGAAAAATTTAAAGGCTAATCAAGCTGGTAGGGAGCAGAGATGCTTAGTTTCAGAAGACTAGGAACCTAGAGGTTAGGTGCACGACTAGACTGACCTCAGTTTAAATCCTGGATGCTGATAGGTGACCTTAGGCAAGTTGCTTTTGACTTCTATAGGCCTCAGATTCTTCATCCCTAAATGGAGGGGCCTGGTACCCACTGAATGTGTGGTTCTTTGCATTACTTGGGAGTCCGTCATCACCACAGTTGTCATTATAAATCAGCACAGCAAAATTGAGGAGTTTCACAATACATAGCAGCAGCTATTAAAAAGACTAATTTTTGGTTAAAAATTTTACTCCTGGAAGTTCATTCTTAAGGAATTATGTCAAAAGAATATATTAATTTTCAGATAGATACAGTATAGCATCATTTCTTATGATAAAAAGAAATAGGATATAGGGAGAAATTGGAAATAAGGTTACATGAAAAAAGAAGAAACAACTTTTAAAAATATTTAGCTGGGTGTTCCTGTCCCTAAAGAGGCTCCTGTCGAACTCCACGGTGGTTAGGTGTGGCCTGGATCTTTATAGTGAGCTGTTCAGCACTTGTTTCAGGTCCGTGCCAGGCTCTCCATACATTGCCACATTTAGCTTTCTCAACAGTCCTATGAAGCATAAACTCTTATGACCCCTGATTGATGAGGAAACTGAGGCAGGATGGGATTCAGCTTCAAGTTAGTTTAATCTGCAGTTCCCACTTTTAACCCACCACGCTATACTCTGGGTCCCAAACACCACTTCCACCAAAAGCTTCGCAGGACACCAAAGAACAGAAAAAATGATCAGTAAAGCTTTACTTATCCTCGAGAAGAGAAAGCTTTAGTGGGTTATTCAAAGTTGTATATTATACTATCTGTTTTGTCTTTACCAATAAATAAAGGTTAATTAAGATAAACTTAAAAATGAGGGATTTGGACTGGTATAGTGAAGAATTCCTGATTTAACCGTTCAGATGAGTTACTGGGGAGCCCAGAAGAAGCTTTCATATTACAAAATAAAAAAGACCAGATTCTTAGCTTCCTAGCTGCGTTATTAAATAGTTTCCTTTTTTTGTCTAGACAGTAAATTTACTTAGACGATAAATAAATTTCTCTTTTATATGATATCAGTATAAATGGCCCAGTTATTTTAAATGAACCACTTTGCTTTAACTTTATACACTATAGCAGTTCACTTTGTTTCCTACCAAATTGGCAGACATAATTTTAGAATATGTGTCATGTCTGTGTCACTCTAAGAACATCATCTAGTAAACTGGTGAGCTGTGTGCTGAGTGAACATGGGAGCAGTCGGTCTTTGCCCCTCCACACTGAGGCTGACCTTGTAACTCTCTCCTGACCCTCTCAACTCTGCCATGGACTCCAGAAGGATATTGGAACTCCAGACCACAGGGTGGAAAGCAGGGCTTCTCACACTGTAAAAGACCTGCCCATTCCAGAGACCTGCCAACCACAGGCTCTGATGCGGTAGGGCTGGGGGGCTGCATTTCTAACACGCTGCCCAGGCCACACTCACAGCTGAATGGTATAGAAGAGGACAGTCTGGGCTTTGGAATCACACAAATTGGCATCAAATCAGTGATTTCTTTGAAAAACTCTATGGTCATGGGCAATTATCTAATTCTTGTGAGGCTTAATTTAATCTGCAATAGGAAGAGAATGCCTAGCTCATGAGGAAACTACTATTATATGGAATCTACTAAATTCAGTACATGCCGCATCTTAGCACTTGACGAATACCAGTTCCTTGCTCAGCCCTTTTGCACACTGGATGTGAATGCTGTTGACTGAATGCTTGTTTGTAGTAGAGGCATCTGCAAAGGGGATCTGTCTCTGTGTATTCGTGCACATATGTACATCTGTGTGTACACAAAGTAATGCATGGAAGACCCTAGAAACCCTAGAGTTCAGGCATTTGAAAAGCATTTCTGTGAAATCACAGTCAGCACAAATGTACTTTGTCTTTAACACATCTTTCAGGTGCCTTGTTTTTCTGGGTTTTTTAAATACTTTTCTTTCTAATTCTTACTAGATTTAGACAAAAAGTCTGCAGAGCTGAAGATGGATCAGGCTTTGCTAGTCATCCATAATGAACTACTCGAGACAAACTTGACTGTCTACTGGAAATCTGAATGGTGCTATCAGGTGTGTGTTATGTTCAGACTCGATTTTGTTTGCTCTGGGGCTCGTTTGACATGATCTTTAATGCTCTCATATCTAAAGCTCTTCACATGTTAACTTCAGTTTTATAGGGAAGGAAACAAGCTATGTAAAGAATCAGAAAAAATATGATCAGGGAGAATGCCTAGCGATGAGCAGCATCCATTTCTTTTCTCCCACTGTCTTTTTAAAAACCAGTTGTTGGTGATGAAAAAACTGGTAGACTGTGTTTTATTTTCCTTCTCTGGCTCATGCATAACCCGCCAGCTGGCGCAGAGAAGAGCGACACCTGGGTGTTCTCGGGCAAGCCCAGGGAGCAGCAGGGAGGGCATTGGAGGGCGTGGCAGTTATTCCAGGGACCTGCTGCTGAAAATATGAATTTATGTTATCAGGTGGTTTTACTCCTGTTCTAGACCTTGTTGCTTTTTAGGAACAAGGCTATTCTTCCATATAAAATAAAGTAAAATATTGAGACCTTCATTGTACCTTCAGAGGAGGAATTTTAGTGTATTGTGAGTGACCTGTTTACTGTAAATAGCTTTAAAAAAAAACAGGCAAAAAACTTTCTGTGTGGGTACTAGCTGAAAAGATGGTAGAGCAATACATGATACCTTCTCTATTTGATCAAACTGATTGAAAAGTCTGCAAAGTAATGTGGAACAAACGAAGAAATTTATTATATTAAAAAAGTAGCTCAAGACAGAAAAGTTGTATCAGCCTACAAGAAGAACCTGAAAGAAACTTTGAACAAAATCAACAGTAGATTAAATTATAAAGTGACAGAAATCAGATAATTCAGAGAATGGACAAAATGTCTTCTAAAAAGACTTAATAAAGATCTAAATCCACAGAAAAACAGGGTCGGGGGGAAAGACTGTGTTGTCAAGGTATCAGATGTAGGGCAAATAAGAGCATCATTAGAATATAAAAAAATAGAGTCATTGGCATGAAACAATGATGCTGGTGACAGATTAAAAAATAAAAAACAGGCCAGGCGTGGTGGCTCACCCCTGTAATCCTAGCACTCTGGGATGCTGAGGTGGGTGGATTGTTTGAGCTCAGGAGTTCGAGATAAGCCTGAGCAAGAGTGAGACCCTGTGTCTACAAAAAAAGTAGAAAAAAATAAGCTGGACAACTAAATATATATATATAGAAAAAATTAGCCAGGCATGGTGGCACATGCCTGTAGTCCCAGCTACTCAGGAGACTGAGGCAGAAGGATCACTTGAGCCCAGGAGTTTGAGGTTGCTGTGAGCTAGGCTGACGCCACAGCATTCTACCCTGGGCAGCAGAGTAAGACTCTGTCTCAAAAAAAAAAATACATTGAAAACAAAAAGGCACAGGTAATTAAACTTTTTTTTCCCTAGTGACAGGGTCTTGCCCTGTTGTCCAGGCTGGAGTGCAGTGGCTTCATCATAGCTTGCTACAGCCTCAAACCCCTGGTCTGAGGGATCCTCTGGCCTTGGCCTTCTAAAGTGCTGGGACTACAGTCATGAGCCACCATGCCCAGCCTGTTAGTGATACTTTTTGATTAAGTAGATGTTAAAATAAAAGGGACCAGTCAAGCTTTATTATTTGCATAAATGATAAATATTAATACCAAAATGTAAACACGCTAAATAAAAGGCTTCAAATTTATGTGGTTCCCCAAAATACATAGAAAATAATGGTAGAAACTACAAAGTTATGGAGACAAATGGTAATATACTCTTATCAGATGGTGATAGGGCAAGTAGATTAAGGTTTGGTAATAGAACTAATAATCAGAAACAAAATCTGGTTTTGTTTTTTTTGACACAGAGTCTCACTGTTCTGCTCTCTGCTTCTAGGAGATCACCTTCTTTAGATCCCACATGAACGAGATCATGTGGCATTTGTCTTTCTGTGCCTGGCATACTTAAGCTAACGTCCACTAGGCTTATCCATGCTGCTTCAAATGACAGGATTTTATTTATTTATTTATTTATTTATTTATTTATTTAATTTCTTTTTGTGGCTGAATAATCCATTGATGGATACTTAGGTTGATTCCATATTTTGGCTATTGTGAATATTGCTGCAATGAACATTGAGGTGCAGGTATCTCTTTTCTTTCCTCTGCAATGTTTTCCTGAAGAGTGCAGGTATCTCTTTGATACACTGATTTCCTTTCCTTTGGATAAATACTACTGTGGGATTGCTGTTCTATATTTAGTTTTTTTTTTTTGGGGGGGGGACAGAGTCTCACTCTGTTGCCTGGGCTAGAGTGCCGTGGCATCAGCCTAGTCACAGCAACCTCCAACTCCTGGGCTCAACCAATCCTACTGCCTCAGCCTTCCGAGTAGCTGGGACTACAGGCATGTGCCACCATGCCCGGCTAATTTTTTTTTTTATATATATTTTTAGTTGTCCAGATAATTTCTTTCTATTTTTTTTAGTAGAGACGGGATCTTGCTCTTGCTCAGGTTAGTCTTGAACTCTTGAGCTCGAAGAACCTGCCCACCTGGGCCTCCCAGTGCTAGGATTACACGTATGAGCCACCACGCCCGGCCTATATTTAGTTTTTTGAGAAGTCACCATATTGTTTTCCATAATAGCTGTACTAATTTACATGCCCACCAACAGTGTATAAGAGTTCCCTTTTCTTGGCATCCTCACCTTGATTTGTTATTTTTTGTCTTTTTGATAACAGCCATTGTAACCAGAGTGAGGTGGTCGCTCATTGTGGTTTGGATTTGCATTTCCCTGATTAGCGAGGTTGATAATTTTTTCATAGACTTGTTGGCCATTGTCTTCCTTTGAGAAATGTCTGCTTAGATCCTTAGATTGGTTTATTTGAAATCTTTCTACTTTTTTGATATAGGTGTAAGCTTTTTGCTGTAAGCTTATTGCTGTAAGCTTTCGTCTTAGAACTGCTTTTACTGTATCCCATAGGTCTTGGATGTTGTGTCTCCATTTTCATCTGTCTCAAGAAATTTTAAAATTTCTTTTAAAAATTTTTCATTGACCCATTGGCTTTTCAGGAGCATGTTGTTTAATTTTCATGTAATGGTACAGTCTCCAAAGTTCCTCCTATTACTGATTTCTAGTTTCATTCCATTGTGGTCAGAAAAGACACTTGATATATTTTGATTTTTAAAAATTTGTTAAGACTTGTTTTGTGGCCTAACATATGATCTTGTTGGAGAATGTTCCATGGGTTGTTGAAGTAATATATGTTCTGGTGTTGTTGGATAGAATGTTCTATAATGTCTGTTAGCTCCATTTGGTGTAGAGTGTGGTTTAACTTTTTTTGTTGATTTTTCTGTCTGGATGATCTGTCCATTTCTGGAAGTGAGGTGTTGAAGTTTCCTACTATTATTGTATTGCAGTCTATCTCTCCCTTTAGGTCAGTTTTTAATCTTTTGAATTGGGATCTCACTGTGTTGTCCAGGCTGGTCTCAAATTCCTGGGTTCAAGTGATTCTCCTATGTAGTTAGGATTACAGGAGTGTACCACTGTGCCTGGCCCCTTTAGGTCTATTAATAGTTGCTTTATATATTTAGGTACTCCAGTGCTGGTTGCATATATATTTATAATTGTTATATCTTCATGCTATATTGATCCCTTTATTATTATATAATGGCCTTGTTTGTCTCTGCTTTTTACAGTTATGGCTTAAAGTCTATTTTATCTGATGTATAGCTATTCTTGTTCCTTTTTGTTTCCATTTGCGTGGAATATCTTCTTCCATCCCTTCACTTTCAATCTTTGTGTGTCTTTACAGATGAATTGAGTCTCTTGCAGGTAGCATATACCGTGTTTCTCCTAAAATATGACAGGGTCTTATATTTATTTTTCCTCAAGAAGACACCCCAGGGCTTATTTTCAGGGGACGTGTTATTTTTTTTAAGTATGGTACAACAATCTACATTTATTCAAATATAGTTAAGTCGTCTTCTTCTGGAACATCATCATAACTCTCCAAACCCCGAATTTCATTCTGAATTTCTTGCGACTCTATTTCCTTTAAAACCATTGGCCCCAATCTCTCATGTCGAGCAGTAGAGCTCTCATGGGACAGATGAGAAGGGCTGCTTGTCTTCTTTACCGCTCTGCAATGAAATGCATAGCTTGTTGCAGATACGCTGTGTAGACATGCCCATCACTAGGTCTTATTTTCGGGGTAGGTCTTAAATAAGACCTATTTTCGCAATATTTGTATTGTACAAGTGCTTAGAAATCCTGCTAGCGCTTATTTTATGGGTAGGTCTTATTTTCGGGGAAACACAGTATTTGGGTATTGTTTTTTTAATCCATTCAGTCACTCTGTCTTAGCAGAGTACATTGTTTTTTGTTTTTGTTTTTTTGAGAAGGAGTCTTGCTTTGTTGCCCAGGCCAGAGTGAGTGCCATGGTGTCAGCCTAGCTCACAGGAACCTCAAACTCCTGGGCTCAAGCCATCCTCCTTCCTCAGCCTCCCAAATAGCTGGGACTACAGGCATGCGCCACCATGCCTGGCTAATTTTTTCTATATATATTAGTTGACCAATTAATTTCATTCTGTTTTTAGTAGAGACGGGGTCTTGCTCTTGCTCAGGCTGGTTTCGAACTCCTGACCTCGAGCAATCCGCCCGCCTCGGCCTCCCAGAGTGTTAGGATTTACAGGCGTGAGCCACTGCGTCCGACCAACCAAGTACATTTTTGAAGTAATGAAGCAATAGAAGAAATAACAAGCCAGATTAGTATGACTATATAAAAGTATAAAAACTTGTAATTAAAAACAACAAAATTTAACAAGATGAAAAGGAAGGTACTAGAATGGAGAAATATTGGATACAGTTAAAAGTGTAATATTACAGCATATGAGGACACATTTCCAAGATTACGTTCAAGAGAAGTTGGTATCTAATGGTTCACACTATGTCAAACAAAATAGCAAAATTATTGAATTATTTCATCTGTTGTTAATTTAAAATGTAATCTTAATGTTGTGATATAAATATCTAGTAAATGAATAAAAAGAAAAAGGATTTTAAAATCTTGGTAAGACTAATGAGAAATTAATATATTGTTTTTATTTTACTTATTTGAGTACTATTTGGCCACTTGTAATAGGAACTGTTAAAATGATTATTTTTTATTCAATAGTTTCACTTTTAGAAATTTTCCTTAGGAAAAGAATTTAAAGGAATAAGAACCTCATGTGTGGATCTTTTTTTTTCTTTGAGGCAGAGTCTCACTCAGTTGCTCCAGCTAGAGCAACTGAGCTAGTGAGTGCTGAGCCAGCTAGAGCTAGTGAGTGCCGTGGCGTCAGCCTAGCTCACAGCAACCTCAAACTGCTGGGCGCAAGCAAACCTTCTGCCTCAGCCTCCTGAGTAGCTGGGACTAGAGGCATGTGCCACCATGCCTGGCTAATTTTTTTTTTTATATATATTTTTAGTTGTCCAGCTAATTTCTTTCTACTTTTAGTAGAGACAGGGTCTTGCTCTTGCTCAGGCTCGTCTCAAACTCATGAGCTCAAACGATCCATCTGTCTTGGCCTCCCAGAGTGCTAGGAGCCACTGTGTCTGGCCTCATCTGTAGATCTTTTAAAACAATATAATTTATATAGGCCGGGCGTGGTGGCTCATGCCTGTAATCCTAGCACTCTGGGAGGCCGAGGCAGGCAGATTGCTCTAGGTCAGGAGTTCAAAACCAGCCTGAGCAAGAGCGAGACCCCATCTCTACTATAAATAGAAAGAAATTAATTGGCCAACTAATATATATAGAAAAGATTAGCCAGGCATGGTGGTGCATGCCTGTAGTCCCAGCTACTCGGGAGGCTGGGGCAGCAGGATTGCTTGAGCCCAGGAGTTTGAGGTTGCTCTGAGCTAGGCTGACACCACGGTACTCACTCTAGCCTGGGCAGCAAAGTGAGACTCTGTCTCAAAAAACAAAAGAAAATTTATATAGCAAAAACAATAAAAAGATAAAACAAAAAATCTTTGAAATCAGCCTCAATACTCACTGATAGTATTGGATGGAATGTAATGCAACCATTAAATATTATAAATATGCTAATTAGGTATAATCATGGAAACTTATGTGTTAAATAATATTAAATAAAACTTAGATTTAATGTATGATCTATTAATTTGTGAAAAGTTTACTTATGAAGATTATATAATTCCATAGCGACATTGTTTTAATAATAATAGGCAAATTTTGTCTAAGTTATTGAAATTGCTGAGTTTCTTTTATAAGTATGAAGGAAAAGTCATGTTAGCATCTTTAGTTGGATATTTATGTCCTCCAACAAGCCCAGATATTCAATGACCCCCAACAGTTTATCTGTTGTGCTTTTATTTTATAGTGCTTGTTCCAGGTGCTGGTCATTGTCTCTCAGAGTGGAAAGCCCGGCGTGCCCAGCTTTGCAGCTGTCTCTGTCTCCACCCAGCACGGCTCCATCCTGCAGCTGAACGATACCCTGGAAGAGAAAGAAATTTGTAGGTTTGTGCCTGCTTTGGTATAACCTAACTGAAGTCTCCGTTTTTCTACCTTTTTTCCTGTTTCGTTTTTAGCTTTTTGTCCCTTTAAAATATTTTTCTTTTTATTTTCTGGGCTGCACCTAGGGACACATATCATTCTGCCTTTATGACATTAGCAAAATCCAACTCCTTATTTCCTAATCTAACCATTTGTCTTAATTTTTCTAATCTTTGTAGGCTGGAATACAAATTTGGAGAATTTGGAAACTATTCTCTTTTGGTAAAGCACATCCATAATGGAGTCAATGAGATTGCCTGTGACCTAGTTGTCAACAAGAATCCAGTTGATAGTAATCTTCGTACGTATATGCTCTTTGTTCATTTTTACATTTGTGTTTTCAAAGGCTTCCATTTTGGGATACTGTTTGTAAAGTGAAGCTGTTCATGACCTTTTCTGTAATTTAAAAACCCAGATTATAGGTAAGATTCCATTTAGTTATGGTCTATTTATAATATACTTATTGTGGCCATTTGTACCAATAAAATTATGTCATATATTAAAATTATAGGGTACATCAACATATCCTCATAGTTGTTATTTAGTTTAATTATGAAGCAGTCATAAACCAAAAAAGTTAATGCAGTGGAAAGAGAAACTTGAAATAGAAACTAGAAATTATCAATATTGTTCTTTATTTTAGGGTTTAGGGTGTAGGATTTTCTGTGTGTCTCATGCTAAGGAGGCACCATTCATTCTCTAATAACTCCACTGAAGAATATCCTTCATTCTGAGCTCCTCATCAGATAATGTAGTAGGTGCTGTCTTTCAAAAGGCAGTAAGGAACTCGGGGGCATTAATAAGTACTGTTCACAGGGAAGCTATTGATGACTGTGAGGTTGTGTCAAAAGAACATAGGCGCCAATATGAAAGGGCCAATGTGGACAGTTTAGGCATTAAAAAGAATATGTAATTGGTGGAAAATAATGAACATATAAAATCCATGATGTCCTTATGAAACTAAAAACAACAAGGCCCTCCATCCCAACCAAAAACAGAAATGTAAGCAATACTTCTGTTGTCTTTGGAAGTAACAGATTGAAGCATTTATTCTGCCTTTTTGTTTTAACTAAATTCTGGGTAACTAACCAGTCCTAGTTAATGAGGGTAAATTCTATAGAGAAGAATTCCAGCTAATAATGGACAGAATGGTAGGATATTTTCAACCCCTAATGAAATCATTGATTCAGGCAAAAACCATATACGTGGAGAAAGCATCAGATGAAAGGGGAACTTCACACTGGAGGGGTCAGGCTTTTACCAGCTGGACACGTCCGTCAGACATACGGTCAATCGCAGAAGGTACCTCCCCACTGCTACCCAGGAGATTATTGTTAATTTTGTATGACATTGTGATTACATAACAAAAGGTCCATTTTTTTTTTTTTTTTTTTTTTTTGAGACAGAGTCTTGCTTTGTTGCCCAGGCTAGAGTGAGTGCCGTGGTGTCAGCCTAGCTCACAGCAACCTCAAACTCCTGGTTCAAGCAATCCTCCTGCCTCAGCCTCCCAAGTAGCTGGGACTACAGGCATTTGCCACCATGCCCGGCTAATTTTTTGTATATATATTAGTTGGCCAATTAATTTCTTTCTATTTATAGTAGAGACGGGGTCTCACTCTTGCTCAGGCTGGTTTCGAACTCCTGACCTCGAGCAATCCGCCCGCCTCGGCCTCCCAGATAGCTAGGATTACAGGCGTGAGCCACCACGCCCGGCCAAAAGGTCCATTTTTAAGAAACTTAATTTTGAAATAGACTTAACAGCAACGTTGCAAGAAAAGAGTTCCCAAATACCCTTTACCTAGCTTCCCCAAACCTCCGAACTGTATCATCATAAAATTATCCCTTGTACAATTATGGAAACCAGGAACTCAGCATTCTTCTCAACTTAACATTGGTACAATATCCATCTACAGACTTACTTAAATTTCTCCAATTGTCCCTTTTAATATCATTTTTCTGGTCCAGGATTCACTCTAGGATCCTATGTTGCATTTAGTTGTCAGATCTCCTGTGTCTCCTCCATTCTAGGACAATTCCCTAGTCTGTCTTTGTCTTTCATGATCTTGACAGTTTTGAAGAGTATTGGCTACTTTTGGATTGTCCGTTGACTTGGATTGGCCTCATGTTTTCTCTTGACTAGGTAGACGTTTTGCATTTTTTGGTAGAATGCTACAGAAATGATCCTGTGTCATCCTAAGTGCATTGTGTCTGTGTGTGCATGATGTCGAAATGTCTTTGACAAGGGCTTGTGCTTTAGAGACACATACTAAAGTATGAGGGGACGAAATCACATGCTGTTTGGGATGTGTTTTAAAATTCTTTAGCTAAAAATGGGGAGGGAGGATAGTTATAGATGAGGCAAGAGTGATAATATCTTGATAATTCTGAAATCTGGGTGATGGGTGTATGTGATTTTATTATACAATTCTCTGTACTTTTGTGTATGTTTGATGTTTTTCATAATGAAAATTAATACTCCCCATAATGAGTGGTGTTCTTAGTTTTGTAGAGGACATTTAACATAAGGATAATGGCTTTTCCCTCATTTGTTTGGATTTTTGTTTGATTTCATTTTTCACGTATATGTTAAATGTAATGATGTGACAACTTTGATGTTTATGATGACTTTTTTGGTGATAATGTTTTTTCTTTTCTTTCTATAGCCGTGAGTGTTGCATTCCTCATTGGTCTAGCACTCATCATTGTGATATCCCTTCTGAGGCTCTTGTTTAGGTAAGATGTTCGAGGAGATACAGCTGGGGAAGGTAGAATATAGAAATAATACCTTCAGAAATGGTAGTTGTGATCCCTCAAATGACCATTATTCTTTGATTAAATGCACATTTATGTATCCACCATGTCCAGCCCAGTCCTGAGCATTAGAAGTTCAATATAGACAAAGATATGGTTTTTGATTTCAGGAAAATTACTAATAATGAAGGTTCTAATGAACTTTTGTCTTCCATCCCCCACATGGCTGAAAGTGAAGACAATGTTTGAGAAATAATTATTTTCTAAAGAATCTCACATCCCATTCCTCAGCAAGTGGAAGTGGCTTATTCTAGCATTAGGAAGAGGCTGCCACACTAGGCCCTCCTCCTCCCCTCTGGTCCTGAGCCCTGGGGCCCTGCAAGCCCAGGCATCTGGTGGCAGAGGTGGATGCCTGGATGTCCTGCCTCTGGGCCCAGTGTGGACTCCTTTTCCTGTGGTTAGAGTAAGTTAGCCAGTGTAGAGAGGGGATTCATTCTGCTCTGCCTGGTTAACAGTGATTCTGATAAGTGTGAATTACTAGACTATAAAAGAAAAAGTAAAATAGATCCAGGCCTGCATTAATCAGTTTTCAAAGGAAAGTTTTTTCATGTTTAAGAGGAATAAGATTTCTTGAATTTTCATGTGCTCATGTTGTTAGGGTCTCAGGAAGGATCACAAGGTTTTATTGGTGAGTTCTATCCAGATTGGAAGAATGGAAGCCCAATCTTTAAATCGGCCAGCTTGGGGGACCCCTGAAACTGAGGGGGGTTTGTTCACTCTGACATCTTAGATGCCACATCAGATGCACAAGATGGCTTGTGTGTCTTAGAGATGGTTTAAGTCCCTGTCTAAGGAATCCGACTATATGTAAATATAAAAGAACTACTAGCAGCTTTGAAGCAGGTGTTTATTAACCCAACTGCTTTTTAGGGGCACAATAGGATTCTTGTAGGGGAGTTTCATTTCTTTGAATTAAGGTATTAGCTTGTCAATCTTTTCATAAGATGCAAATACCATTTCAGTATCTTACAGTGCTATGGTACCTTTCACATGAATGATCTGTTACATCACTTTTAAAAGCACTTGATGGCTGAGGTCCAGCACTTGCACAGAGGAGAAATTTCATCTTGCTCTGCTGTGGAAGTGAAGCTCCTCTTTGCATGTGATCCTGCTTTTCCATACTGTGGTGCAGGAGGCTGCTGTTGGCAAAGTGAGTCCCCAAGTCTCTTATTCCCAGCCCCTTCGCTTTCCAGCATACCCATGAAAGTCCAGGGAAGTTCAGATTAGTCTGAGCCAGAAAAAGTAGAGAGGATAAAGAATCTCTCTCTTTTTCTTTTGGGGAATAAGCATGCAGAGAATTAGGTATTTTTTGTTTTGTTTTATTTTTTAATAGCTTTTCTCCCTTCCTTAGATGTGTCTATTTTGATATTTTTCATGCAATGATGACATTATCAGTGCTGAATAAGCTAGAAACAGGCATTGAATTGTGAGGGAAAAAGAAATGACAAACATATGCATTGGATGTATGAGTTGTGTTAGGATACTGAATTGAATAACCGTAAAAAAATTTTATGAGACAGGGAAACCGAACTGGCTGTGTGATGATACTGAGGTATTGTTGCTAACATTTTTAAGTGTGATAATGGTTTTGTGATTACATTTAGAAATAAAAATAGTTCTTGTCTTTTGACCATACATACTGAAGTACTTATGGATGAAATGATATGATGTCTGGGATATTCTACAAAACAATCAATTCAAAGCAGGAGTGAAGGGCAGTATGTGGGAGTGTAGCTGAGATAAGACTGGCTGTGTGTACTCGCTGAAGTTGAGAAATGGAGGTTCATTGTACAGGCACACCTCATTTTATTGCACCTTGCAGATACCGTGTTTTTAACAAGCTGAAGGTTTGTGGCAACCCTGTGCCGAGCAAGTCTGTCAGCGCCATTTTTCTAACAGCTCATGCTGCTCATTTCATGTCTCTGTGTCATGTTTTGGTAATCCTCACAACATGTCAGACTTTTTCATTTATATTATATCTGTTATGTTGATTTGTGATCGGTGATCTTTGACATTACTATTGTAATTGTTTTGGGGCTGCTATGAATTGTACCCATATGAGATGATAGAACTTAGTAAAAAATGATGTGTGTGTTCTGAGTGCTTCAGTGACCAGCTGTCCCTCTGTCTTTCTATTTTCTGAGACACAGCAATATTGAAATTAGGCCAATTAATAACACCGTAATGGCCTCTAAGTGTTCAAATGAAAGGAGGAGCTGTGTGTCTCTCACATTAAATCAAAACCCAGAAATGATTAAGCTGAGTTAGGAAGGCATATTGAAAGCGGAAAGCTAAGATAGGCTGAAAGCTAAGTCTCATGCACCAGTTAGCCAAGTTGTGAATGCAAAGGAAAAGTTCTTGAAGCAAATTAAAAGTGCTACTCCAATGAACATATGCATGATAAGAAAGCGAAACAGCATTATTGCTGTTAAGGAGAAAGTTTGAGTGGTCTGGATGAAAGATGAAACCAGCCACAACATTCCCTTAAGCTGAAGCCTAATCCAGAGCAAAGACCTGATTGTCTTTAGTTTTATGAAGACTGAGGCAGCTGCAGAAGAAAAGTTGGAAACTAGCAGAGGTTAGTTCATGAGGTCTAAGGAAAGAAGCTGTCTCCATACCATAGAAGTGCAAGGTGAAGCAGCAAGTGCTGATGTAGACGCTGCAGCAGGTTATCCGGAAGCTCTAGGTAAGATCATTGATGAAGGTGGCTACACTCAGCAATAGTATGTAGTTGAAATAGCCTTGTATTGGAAGAAGATGCCCCTAAGAATTATGCTAACTCTATTCTGCCTGTGCTCAATTAATGGAACAACAAAGCCTGGATGGCAGCACATCTGTTAAGAGCATGATTTCCTGACTGTTTTAAGTCTGCTATTGAGAACCTCTGCTAGAAAAAGTTTCCTTTCAAAATATTACTGCTCATTGACAGTCCACCAAGGCACTCAAGACCTCTGGTGGAGACGTACAGGAAGACCATGGTGTAGTGTAAACGTAGCTTTTATGTGCACTGGGAAACCAAAAATTTTGTGTGACTTGCTTTATGGTTATATTTGCTTTATTGTGGTGGTCTGGAACTGAACCTACAATATCTTGAGATATGCCTGTACCAGTTTCTCTTTTCTTCTTTTGTATATGCTTGAAACTTTTTATGACCAAATTAAAAAGAACAAAACAAAACAGGAAAGAGTAAAGAAAAAAGTTCAGTGCATTAGATAATACAAATGTGGCAAAGTTAATGTAAAACATATAGGTGGGTTTTTGGTTTTTTTTTGTCATAAGGTATACTTTTTGAAAGATTTCCCAAGTAGAAATCTCATTTTATAGAAAAATCAGTTATTAAATAATATATTTATCTGTGGTTAATCATGTAAATCATTTTAATGTCATCTACCTATTTTAATTAAAGCAACTATATTTATAAAAAAAATGCCAACCTATTAACTATTTGAGTCACTTCAAAGTTGCTTTCACACTTTCTTAGTGAGCATGCGTGCATTTTTATTTAATTGTCATTGTAGATGTTGGGTTTTTGCTTTTTGTATTCAATAGCTTATCTTTGTATTTCCTTGTGTGGACAGAGCCTACATTCTTGTTATTTTCATAGCTGCGTCTCATTCTGTCATATATCTGTCATACCCAGTGTTTGGTTATTCCTGAGTTGAGCGAATTTGGTTGTTTCCAACTTTTTCCTATTTTAATTTTAATAGTTTTATTAATAAGATTATTAACCATAGAGAATAATGATCTAATTTAACCTTCACAGGCTTAAATGAACACTCTATCATCATTCCTATTTTATTGATGAGGAAACTATGCTGCAGGGGCCAAGCATTTATAAGTACAGCTGCTAAAATCTTTGATTTCTGTTTTTATGTTGTTAAAAAACTTATTTATTTTGATTTGTTTTTTGTTTTTAAATTTTATTTTCTACCTATATCTTTGATACAACCAGAGGTTAAGAAACTTTTCAGAATGTTTAATTCCTTAAATAATATAGGAGATGAATCTTAGGTTAATTTTATTTCAATATGGTGTCCAATCGTTTTGAAAATTCTGGCCAGAGAAAATAAATTAACTGAGACTTTTATTTATTTATAGTTTGGACGACTTTAATAATTGGATTTCTAAGGCAATAAATTCTCAAGAAACCGATCGCCTGATCAATTCTGTGAGTTATTAGAATGCATCATGCATTGTGTGGGTGGTTTTCTAAATGTGGAAAGTATAATTTCCTACTTATCTGAGCTGGCTTGTCTGTAGTTCCAGCAGGGGTCTGAGGTAGGCGGATGACTTGAGCCTAGGAGTTTGAGGCCCCAGCCTGGGCAGCACAGTGAGATCTTGTCTCAAAGAAAAATCATTATTCTTTGGTTTAATAAATCTTACTTAGGTTATGGGTCCTTATTCCTAATAAAGAGCAGCCCTCTCTTCAGTGCCTATGAAGGACTCCATCCTCTTCTCTTTCTGTGGTGAAGTTGGTGCTCTGGGCTGTGTTTCGTTACATGATGTGGGGATCCTTTTCACTCTGCAGGCAGCATTATTGAATCGATCCAGTTAGGTAGAGAGTATCATGATGAAAATAAAGGAATAAGAGACATCGGTATTAAATCTGTAAATGCTAATGGCCTGCTATAATGATTAAAGATAGCACTAAGTTTGTGTTAATAAATGTAGTCTCATTCATGGATGTATTTGCTTCTATGCTTGTGCTAGATGCACTCATGGTCCAATTCTTTGTGTCATTTGTCAACACAGCCACTGGCAAGCTCAGCAAAAGGCACAAAAAGCCAGTAAAGTGAAAAACTAAACCTCTAGATGGGATCTTTACACAAGCAAATTAAAGTCTTGTTCAGAAAAACTGTCTTTAGCTTCCTACTCTGTTAATTTCTTACTTAAAAAGTCGAAAAATCGGCCGGGCGCGGTGGCTCACGCCTGTAATCCTAGCACTCTGGGAGGCCGAGGCGGGCGGATTGCTTGAGGTCGGGAGTTCGAAACCAGCCTGAGCGAGACCCCGTCTCTACTAAAAATAGAAAGAAATTAATTGATCAACTAAAAGTATATATACAAAAAAAAAATTAGCCGAGCGTGGTGACGCATGCCTGTAGTCCCAGCTACTCGGGAGGCTGAGGCAGCAGGATTGTTTGAGCCCAGGAGTTTGAGGTTGCTGTGAGCTAGGCTGACGCCACGGCACTCACTCTAGCCTGGGCAACAAAAGTGAGACTCTGTCTCAAAAAAAAAAAAGTCGAAAAATCAAATTTACTCCTTAACGTTATGAATTGCCATCTCTTTCTTCCTTTTTTCTGAAGGAGCTGGGATCTCCAAGCAGGGCAGACCGTCTGGGCGACGACATCCAGCCAGCCACGTGGCGCCCGTCTACGCCTCCACCCCGCCTCCGCTGTGTGGACACATTCCGGGGGTACGTGGGTTTCCTCCTAACACCATGGGCACAGGGCGCCCGTCTACCCCTCCACCCCGCCTCCGCTGTGTGGACACATTCCGGGGGTACGTGGGTTTCCTCCTAACACCATGGGCACAGGTAGTCATGGGATTACATAATTGCACACAAACACACTTTTAACTGAAGGTGTTTTACATGCTTTTCACTCTCTAGGCTAGAAAGTATCTTTTGGATGCAAAAATAAAGCCAGCAGCTTGTCCAGTGTTGAAAACTGTGACCATGGGCAGCATGATATGTTGAGGGAGAGGGGAGTGGATGAGGCAGAGCCACTGTCCAGTGGGATGTGCGGTCGTGAGTTAAGGTCATTTGCGTGTGGACAAGTGGCTGTTACTTGGGGCTACAAACTACACCCCCACATCCAGTCAGGAACTTGACAGCTTAGAAGATGCACCAATCTGGAAATGAAACACCAGCCTGTGGAAGAGGAAGGGCTTATCCTTTGTGGCTAGCAGAGAAACTCAAATTTCAGGCCCTTTTGATAGCAAAGCCATAGCCCTGGTAGAAGAACAAAGGCCAGGCCAAAACTCTGAAAATAAAGTATAAAAGTGATATACCTAAAAATAAATCTATAGGTATTGAGTCTTTCATTTCTACCTACCGAGGCCTTCTGAACACCAGTGCTAACCCCGTAGTTCCGTCCTAGCCTCACGAGGTCCCTGAGTGCTCCTGGTGGATATATTTGAAGCACGGTGGTAATTATAATAGTGATAATAATAAAAACTGCTAATGGCTTTGGAGTTCTCACTATGTACAGGTCACTGTTTCAGTTTGTCGTAGTTTATTTAATCTCTTAACAATCCTATGGGGTATATTCTTTTAATGTACCTGTCTCATAGATGAAGAAATTGAGCTGCTCGGGCTAAGTAATTTGTCCAGGGTCACTCGGGTACTAACTGGGAAAACCAAGATTCAATTCCAGGCAGTTGGGTTACAGGGTCCGCACAGGCCATTCCAATAACACACTAAACTTCAGCCTCAGCATCTTGCACAGTTAACATCAAATGGTAAAGTATCCAGCATCCATTTTATATTCCTCTTTCTTATTGTCTTTGCTACTGTTGGAGATAAGCTGTTCACAGACGGGCAGGAACTAGTGTTTATTAGGGGCCTACAATGTGCCAGGCACTGGTTGGGTGCTATAAGATACATTATTCTCTTTAATAGTCACATGCGGTCAGCATGTTTTCTCTCTTACAGATGAGTACACTGAGTTAACTGATGAGAATCGTGCCCAAGCTTTTATGGCTAATAAGAGAAAAAGGTCTAAGATGTGGTTCTGTAATTCTCTTACTCCAATGACTATGTGCCTTCTACAAGAGTTCTTTAACCTGATGTATAAAGAATTAACACAAAATTAAGTTATCAGAAGTTTTTTGCTCTGTTTTCAAGGTAGATAGTTTAGTAGTACAGTGTAAATTTTTCTTAAGACATCATGTTGGAAATGATGGCAACAGAAGGACTTTAGTCTGTGGTCCTAAATGTGGTGAGAAGAAAATGATAGTTTCTTAATCTTTATATCTCATCTTGCATCCTGAAGTGCTCAACAGAATTGCATGACTGCACCTTGCAAGTTGAAATGTATGTCTTGCAGTTCGGCCCTTCCTTGTAATGTTGCATACCCTGAAAGGATTCTCTTTGTGGGCTTTATAGGATATCTCTCATACTCATGGTCTTCATCAATTACGGAGGAGGAAAATACTGGTACTTCAAGCATGCGAGTTGGAATGGTAAGATAATTCCTAAAGGTGGCATTGCTTATGCAGGTCCATTCAGAGAACTGCAGGCAAGAGAACCACTTGGCCTCTCCCCAGGAGAGGTGAGGCCCCACCAGCATCCTCCGAGTGACTGAGGTCCTGCCCTGTAGAATGACCTTTAGATTATTCTGTGAGCCCTTTAGTTTTATTCTATAGTGCTTCAATGTAGTGACACATAGACTCTAAAAGTTTTGACTATGGGACTGTGGGATTCTGCATTGGCTGTAAATGATCACTGTCATATTCCAGATATGCATTTTATTACAGCCGCCATATTCTTGGGGGGTCTGTCTTCTAAGACTTATGGGCCTTCTTAGGGTTGGATTGAACTGGGGTTGGCCTGAGTGGTGCTGAATGACAGCTATAAATCTGGCTTGTAGTTGGTTCAAGAATGGATTTTGAATAGTGCTGCTTAAATATAACGACTTTTCTATACACATCTAGGTTGGTTCTCCTGTGTCTAGTTATGTTGGCAGGAAATACCCAGCCAGGTGCAGTGACGGGTTGCAGAGTCTCAAGGGAGTGTGTGTGTGTGTGTTACTCTCTACATGAGTTTGCTCTCTGTGTCAGTATGTCATCATGTCCATTCTAGATTTATGAAGTATTTATATCCTCAGGTCTTTTCCTTACTCTTTCTTTTTGTCTTATTCTGCAGGACTGACAGTGGCTGACCTTGTTTTCCCATGGTGAGTTGACCTACCATCATCTCTTCCACAGGTCAACTCTAACATTTTGTTTTTCAGCTGATGCTGGAGCCTCTCTCTGAGACCAGCCCTGAATCCTGGACCACAGGCCTGTGTTCTGCTGCCATGAAGTTCTTCCAGAAGTTGTGTTACTGTATAGTTCTACTTGGCATAGTGCTTACACATGTGTGTATAAAAGATGAGTGGTTTTGTAGGGAACATTTTGTTAGTGTAGATATGATATACTAGATCCTAAAATCTTATAGGAATTCATAAATTCTGAATATGTAATTAACTTCCACTGATCCTGAAAATAATTATAAAATCCCATTTCCTAAAAGGAATGGAGTATGTTGATATCATCGAATACTGATAAATATGTAGCAGGGCGATGATACTAATCAATTAAAATTTAAAATAATACTCGAGTAACCAAACTCAGATTGTCCGTGACTTCTTACGATGTAGAATTTGTATCTTTGCTATGCAGTGCTTTGAGTGACTTTGCTTCATCATTTGGAGGTAGTACCAGCCGTTATTTTAGTTTTTTGATCTCTTGGGTTTCATCACTAATATAAACTCCATTTTTTGGGAAACATTCTTTTATTCATTTATTTATTTTGAGATAGATTTGGGTAGAGAGAAGGCTTATATGCCCGAAGACCTGGTCATTATTTTTGTACATTCTCTGTGAAATTCCCTACAGAGAAAGTTCCCTAGAGAGACTAGAGGCTTCTCCCTGACTAGGGTGACCCTGAGAAAGGAAACCAGGGGACACCAGGGAATGCAGCAGGAACAAACTCTCCTGTCTGTCACCCCTTGCCAGATAATTAGTATTCTGCCTTTTCTTTTCAAGGGATAATTTGGTATGTTTAAAAAAAGAGAGAAAAAAGGAAAATATGTGTGACTCAGACAAAATGGAGAGAAAAAAATTAAGCTGTCATTTTTCTTTCAGGAGCAGGAGTGAATTTAGAAATGATCAAAATGTTTGTTTCTCAAGGACTTTGTGGGCCTGCTAGTGAATGTCTAGTTATTTGGAGACAATATTGTAGCATCTTCATCATCACTTCTCTCTGATAACTAAATGGGAGGGTTGTCTTTGGAAATTTCATTTGCTGTTAAAGACTTTTTCTCCTAAGTCAGGACTTGAAGATGCACTGTCAGAAGCCTCATAGCTCAGCAGGGTTGTGTTCTGATTTCTTCCTCTACTGTTAGCTCGATGTTATTTCAGTAATTGTGTTGCTTCTCTTATGTAATATATTATACAGTATTAATGATACATAGACAAAAAATTAGAAATGGTCCCTTATTAACAGCTGTTTTTTCTTTAGGTTTGTATTTATTATGGGATCTTCAATTTTTCTATCAATGACATCTATACTGCAACGGGGATGTTCAAAATTCAGATTGCTGGGGAAAATTGCATGGAGGAGTTTCCTGTTAATCTGTATAGGAATTATCATTGTGAACCCCAATTATTGCCTTGGTCCATGTAGGTATTTTCCCCCTCTGTTAATATATATTCAGGTTGAAATATGGAAACTACATGTAATTTGAAAGAAATATAATTCTTTTCATCTAAGGTACCTGCAAATGGATGAATTCTTAGAAAGTATATGCAGTGCTTGCATAATGTTGGGCATTATTATGTTAGAATTTTAGACCCGAGAAGAGCCTCTAAGATTACTCAAACCCTTCTGTTGTACAAAGGAAGGTCTGGGGCCAAGAGAGATTGAAGAGTTTTCTCTGGATTATCTAAGTGTAGTGAGGAGCACAATAGGGGCCAGGACAAGTCACGTTCTCATACCTTGCCCTCCTGCCATTTTGGTTTCATCAACTTTCAGTATTGGGTAGTAGTTCAAGAATCCTCCTTTGTCAGCACTTGTACGCCAGCTGGGCTGCTGGGAAGGAATGAGCTCCTTGTCACTGCTGCAGTGGTGTGCAGTGGACAGGAATGCTGAGGGAAGGATGTCAGCCCTGTGCTTTGAACCAGCGTCAGAATTGGGGAGGGCAGGAGTCACTGTCATCAAGGAGCTTACACTGTCATTAGGAAAAGAGGACACAAACATCTAGACAGTAGCCAATGGGGTCCTCAGGCAATTAGTACTTTTATTGAATGACTGTAGATACTAGAAGAAGTAGAGTTTACTTCCAGATGGTGTTTCATATAAAAGTGGATTTGATGGATCTCCAAAAAGTGAGCCATTGCTTCCAATGGGATTCATTGTTGGGTTTGTCATCTGGTTGTATTCTTCCATTGCCACAGTCATGTAGGGCAGGGAGAGTCAGTCAGTGGCTTGTGTTAGGTCTGCAAGTTCCTGGTGAACATGAGAGTTGAGTCCATATTTCTAATGGGAAAGGGCCAGGAGATGGAACTTCAGGGTCAAGGGTAGCCCTTGCTTTATCCCCACACCTGAGTATGACACTTTGGTTTTTATCCCAGTCTCTCAACTGGCACCTTCCTGTTCTGAGTTTGAGCCAAGTCCCTGACTGTCTTTTGTTGAGTGGGATTGGCTTGTTCTTGGAACTTGGATTTGAGCCATGTCTCCTGCCAACGTGTCTTTTCATCTCTAAGAGCTTAAAAAAGACTTACTTAGATGTCATATAGGTACTTCTTCCCCCTTATGAAAAAAAATAACATTGTCTTGGGATGAGATGAGAAATGTTGACTAACACTTTATCTAACGTGTGCTTTCTGCAGTGTCTTGGGAGAAGGTGCGAATTCCCGGTGTTCTGCAGCGGTTGGGGGTGACTTACTTTGCAGTTGCTGTGTTGGAGCTTCTCTTTGCTAAACCTGTGCCTGAAAATTGTGCCTCGGTGAGAAATCATTTTTTAAAAAAGAGGGAAAATAATCACTGTATAGTTTTTAGAATTTTTTTTTACCTCTGAGTGCAATACTGTGTACTTCTGATAACTACATGCATTCTTTTCCACCCTGTATTTAGTTATTTTTATTTAATCTTTATATCAATTTTTTTATTATGGTAAAAAACATGTATTGTGAGATCTACCCTCTTAACAGATTTGTCAGCATGCAGTAATCACATGCATTCTTTTTTCTTTTACTTTTGTTGACATGTAATGTACATATTTATGGAATTCAGAGTGATGTTTTGATCCATGTATAGAATGTGTAATGGTCAAATCAGGGTAATTAGCACATCCATCACCTCAAACGTGCCATCTCTTTGTGTTGGGAACATTTAAAATCTTCTAGTTTCAAATGCATTCTTTTTTTAATTCTAAAAAAGGTTTTTTGAGACAGGATTGTGCTCTGTTGCCCATGCTGGAGTGCAGTGGCATCATTATATCTTACTACAACCTCCAACTCCTGGGCTCAAGTGGTCCTCCTGCCTCAGTCTCTTGAGTAGCTGGGATTGGGGCTCATGCCACCATGCCCGTCTAATTTTTTCTATTTTTTATAGAGATAGTGTTCTGCTCTTGCTCAAGCTGGTGTCAAATGCCTGGCCTCAAGTAGGGGATTCCTGCCTTGGCATCCCAGAGTTCTGGGATCATAGGTGTGACCCCTCCGCCCAGCCTTCACATACTTTCTTGATGTCATCAAATGATATCACCATCCTCCAGTTTGCTAGTTTGGTCTCTTGGGGCATTATTGCCAATTTTTCAATTTCCTTGTGGTATAAGATATATAAAAAACTCATTTAACCTTATTCAAATGCTTATATGACCTTGTTTCAACTTTGAGAAAAGTGCCAAGGTGAGGGATGGGAGAATAACAGGATTGTGCTTGGCTACTTGTGTGTCGTCTTTGTCAGGAGTATGTCAGAGTCTCATCTCTTTTGTGATTACTTCCTGTAGTTGCTGGGTGAAGTTTACCCAAGTGACAGTTACTTTTCCCCCAATAGAGGTAAAAATTCAGGTGGAAATGTTTAAATGTTTCCATTTGGGGTCCTACTTAACAATAAATTAATAAAGTGGTGTTTGTTCTCCCGCCTCTTCCCGGTCATATAGCTACAAATTCATCTCTGAATCCCAGATTCTCTGGGTGCTTCCTGTAGTGATTGCTTAGTTGTATATTTCTACAGTGCATTTTTGTCATTATTACTTTTTCCTCCTCTGCCCTGTCATCAGGGAATTGGTGGCCTCTGGCTATGGGTGGCCTTAAGATGAAGCAGAGGGTGGACACGTGTGGATGAGTGTGGAGCTGCTTGAGTGGGTAACAGAGCAGCCGTGCCCAGCCCTTCCTTGGGACCCGAGGGTCTGTGGAAGCATGTCCCGGGCCGGCACAGTTGGGTGAGGGCTTTGGTGAGACACCAAGAATAGATAGGCTGCACCCTTTCTTTCTTCAACCAGAACAGCTCCAAAAGTTTAAATTTCATTTTTTTTTTTACTTTAAAATTTTATTTATTTATTTATTTATTTTTTGGAGACAGTCTCACTCTATTGCCCAGGCTAGAGTGCCATGGCATCAGCGTAGCTCACAGTAACCTGAAACTCCTGGGCTCAAGCAATCCTCCTGCCTCAGCCTCCCCAGTAGCTGGGACAACAGGCATGCGCCACCATGCCCGGCTAATTTTTTCTATATATTTTAGTTGGTCAATTAATTTCTCTCTATTTTTAGTAGAGATGGGTCTTGCTCTTGCTCAGGATGGTTTCGAACTCCTGCCTTGGCCTCCCAGAGTGCTAGGATTACAGGCGTGAGCCACCGCACCTAGCCTAAAAATTTATTTTTAATTTCTTTTTTTATAACAGTTTTATTGAGGTATAATTCACATACCATAAAATTTGCATGTTTAAAGTGCACAGTTCAGTGATATTTAGTCCACTCACAGACTTGCCCCATGAAGAAACCCTCCACTTGCTGCCAGTCACTCGCCACTCTCACAGCTTCCCCAGCGTGGGCGCCTCCTCGGCTACTTTCTGTCTATAAATTTACCTACTCTAGACATTTCATATAAATGAAATCATATAATATGTGGCTTTTTACGTGTAGCTTCTTTCACGTAGCATAATATACTTTTGGAGATCTATCCATGTTGCATGTATCAGCACTTCATTCCAAATTTGCTGAATAATATTTTATGGGTATGCCACATTTTGTTTATTTGTTCATCAATTGATAGACATTGACTTTTTTCTACTTTTTGGCTATTGCGAATAATGCGCCTGTGTAAACTTGTGTACGAGTTTTTGTGTGAACATGTTTTCAACTCTTTTAGGTATAGGAGTAGAATTGTCCATTGATTTTTTTTAACTAATGTTTTACTGTGATATTTCATAGAAAGGGAGCATCTAGACAGCATAATGCATATTAAATAAATTTTTGTATTACTACCAGAAAGGCCAAGAAAGGAATCACTGGGAATCTCCCAAGTATAGATGCTGTGCACTAGTCCCATTCTGTTTGCGTTGAGTTCACGGACATTTTGTTTTTCTGCCCCCACTCAGGAGAGGAGCTGCTTTTCTCTTGGAGACGTCACGTCCTCCTGGCCCCAGTGGCTCCTCATTCTGATGCTGGAAAGCATCTGGCTGGGATTAACATTCTTCCTGCCGGTTCCTGGGTGCCCTACGTAAGTGAACCCTGTATGTCCCCTTTTTGCATGTCATTTTCTGCCAAGTCCCAGGTTCTGGGCTTACAACTTTCAAATGACTAAGTCAGAGGAATTCTATCTCACTCTTTCTTCTTCTTTGAGGCATACTTTGTGTTGAATGGGAGAAGAGTTTGATGTGTTTCCAAGGAAATGTCTCTGTGGTGGTGTTTGAGGTTAATTTGACTAGAAGTTGGGCCTCTGCCTCCACAGTGTAGGGGGCAGTCAGGTCAAAGTGCGTTGGTAAGAGTGCCTGGAGCCGCAGGTGTTTTCGGGTGGTACGTGTTTGAGGCTCTTTGAACTGGGCTGCGGGAATAGCCAGTGCATACCATTATCCCTTCTGAAGTCTTCCCATTTAAGCGTGGTTTTCACTTTCCTAGTGGTTATCTTGGCCCCGGTGGCATCGGAGACTTGGGGAAGTATCCAAATTGCACCGGAGGAGCTGCTGGCTACATCGACCGCCTGCTGCTGGGGGATGGCCACCTTTACCAGCACCCTTCTTCCGCAGTGAGTGGGGCTGGCTCGCACTCACAGCTGAAGCTTTAGGGCCTCAGCAGTGACGGAAGACAGAAAGAGCTGGTCAGCATTAAAGTGTGTCCATGAAACTAATTTTCATTTGAAAAGTCAGCTAACTTGATGACTTATAAATATTCATTTTGTGGCAATATATAAACATTATTTTGGATTTTAAAGTTAGAATGGGACAGGTATGGTGGCTCACACCTGTTATCCTAGCACTTTGGGAGGCTGAGGTGGGAGGATTGCTTGAGGCTAGGAGTTTGAGACTAACCTGGGCAACATAGCAAGACCCCCATCTCTAACAAATTTAAAAATATAACCAAGCATGGTGGTGTGCACCTATATGTCCAGCTACTCCGGAGGCTGTGGTCAGAAGATTGAGCCCAGGAGTTCCTAGCTGCAGAGAGCTATGATTGTGCCACTGCCTTCCAGCCTGGGTAATAGAGTGAGACCTTGTCTCAAAAAAAAAAGTTAGCATGCATTGGATAAAATGAATAGTACGTTGCTTTTCTATATGTCTCAGGTCAGATTTCCTGGCAGCAGACTCTGAGACAGAAATTCCTGTGCAGCAGGTGTGTGAGGGAGTCCTTGTTGGGTCAGTACCTGTTGGGGAATGAGTGACGCGGCACCGGGCAGAGAGAGATTGAACTGCACTGCAGTCCTGACAAAGTCCAGCCAGTCTCTAGGAGAGCCGGGATGGCACTGCAGAGTGATTGTGAACTGAGGAGGGATTGGGCTCTCTCTATCCCTGGTTAGATGTGGACTGCCAGGAAGGGGGTGACCCCTAGAGAGGCAGCTCTCTGTAGTCAAGGACAAATCCAGAAGAGGGACTTGGCTGAGAATTTCAGCCATTAATACTTCTAGCAGCTGGAGGAATGAAAGCTTCTGTCCTGACAGGGTTGCGGGTATCTGTGTGGTATATTTCTAAATGTCTACAATAACATTTATTTTATAATAAAAACACAAATGTGTTTTTGAATATTATTTTCCTTAAAAGAAGATAGGAAGCTGTTAATGTTACAACAGGATTGATCAAAAAGAATAAATCTGAAAACTAGGAGGATGTTATATATTGTATGTGAAACTTGTCAGGGATGCCTCATGCAAGGCCTGGGCCCGGCTGTGTTTGTCAAGCAAGCTGGGCAAAGGAGCTGCCACTAGACTGTGGCTTGTTCCTGGGGCTTCTGCATCTTCTTCTGAGTGTCACAACCACATATCTTCTTGGCCAGAATATTCTGCCTATAATTCCTCCAAGTTTGCAATGAATTTCTGTAGCAAAAGCAAAACACCATTGACTACTGGAATGTATTAAAGTTTGTATTTGGCCTAAGTGTTGATTATGTGCATTTTCATGGTCAGTGGGTGATTGCTGCCTTCTTCTGTCTCATTAAGGCACTTTATCACACGGAGGTGGCCTATGATCCAGAAGGAATCCTAGGGACCATCAACTCCATTGTGATGGCCTTTTTGGGAGTTCAGGTATTTTTTTTGTTTCCTTAGGATACATTTTTCTCACAGTTTATGATTATTGATTCATCACTAATTCAAAGACCATTTCATTAAAATAATTGGGAGCCTATCCTCTTCTGTGTATAGGTCTAATAAATTCTATTATGTTCAACAGGTTGTACAAAACTAGAAGTTGCTGAAAGTAGGCACATTTAAATAATTGGGAATTCTTACATTCTCAAAAAAAGTATTATTTATGTGACGTATCTTGGCTCAGCAGTTTCTGGATACGAGATCTCCCTGATGGCGTGTGCAGAGTATTTGGGTATCAGTAACAATGGAAGTCTCTTTGTCATTTGTCACATTTCCTTTGTGTTTACTTGTCTTAGTCCGTGCTGTTATAACAAAATACCCAAGACTGGGTAATGTATAAAGACCAGAAATTTATTTCTCACAATTCTGGAGGCTGGGAAGTCCAAGATAACGGTGCTGGCAGTTTGTCTGGTGAGGCTCCAGGCTCTGCTCCAAGATAGAGCCTGGATGTGCGCACAGGCCTGTGTCCTTATGTGGTGGGGCTGGATTAGCGAAGAGCTGAACTTGCTGCCTCAAGCCCTTTCTATGAGGGCGAGGGCGTTAAATCCATTCATGGGGGTGGAACCTTTATGATGTGTCACTTCCCAGAGGCCCCACCTTCAAATACCATCACCTTGGTGATTAGGTTTAACATAGGAATTTTGGATGGACACAGATTCAAACCACAGCCACACTTTACATGGCTTCAGGGTATGCATATTGTATGCCAAAGTCAACACAGTTATTCCTTGTTATCTCACGTGCAATGTTGTTAAAATTCTGAGCAGTGTAGAGTTTTCTTCCTAAAGTTCTCCCTATTGGTGTTTGAAAGTATTGTTTGAAGGGAGCCAACCAGGAAGGGGAAGAATTCGTAATTCTTGCGATGATGAAAATATTCCTTATCTGTGCTATCCTGGGGGGCAGCCACTATCCAGGGTAGCTATTGAGCACTGGAAATGTGATATGACCGAGGAACTGCATTTTTTATTTTATTCAGTTTAATTTTAAATTTAAATACTGACATGTGGCTAGTAGCTTCCCTGTGGGATAGTGCAGACCCAAAGCATGTACGGTTGAGTCTTCAACAATGTGGGTGTTAGGGGTGCTGACCCCCCATGAGGTTGAAAACCATGTATCACTTTGGATGCTCCCCAAACATAACTAATAGCTACCAGAAGCCTGGCTGGTAACATGAACAGTCTATTAACACATATTTTATATATGTGTTTTATACTGTATTCTTACAATCAAGTAAGCTAAAGAAAAGAAAATATTATTAAAATCACAAGGAAGAGAAGATATTTACTATTCACTAAGTGGAAGTGGGTTATTATGAAGGTCTCCACCCTCATCATCTTCACATTGGGTTGGGTAAGGAGGACAGAGGGTTGGTCTTGCTGTCTCCGGGGTGGCAGAGGCGGGAGGGATCCCCGTGGAAGTGCACTCTCAGTTAAAGCCCGCATTATTAAGGGCCAACTGTACGTTTTGGTGATTGAGCAATTTTATATTTAGAAATACTGCCTTTATCTCTGTACCACTTTATAGTTTATATTATGCTTTTACATATTCATTTAATCCCTGCCTGTGTTCTGTGGTGAAGCCGTGCCCACTGGAGCCGCCAGTCCAGTGTAGAGGTTGATGTCGACCGGCACCACACGCCCTGGGTTTGCACCCAGCTCTGCGCTTGCTCGCTGGGCACCGCAGGGTGTGCTGCGTCTGCCGCTGCTTTAGTGACGCCTACTTCATAAAGGCACTGTGAGGATTAAATAAGCGAATTTGTGGAAAGTTCTAAGGACTGGCATATAGACAGCATTCATAAATATTAGTTATTATTAAAAACTTATTAAAACTTTCTTCACCAGACACGGTGGCTCATGCCTGTGATCCCAGCACTCTGGGAGGCCAAGGCGGGAGGATTGCTCAAGGTCAGGAGTTCGAAACCAGCCTGAGCAAGAGCGAGATCCCATCTGTACTAAAAAAAAAAGAAATTAATTGGGCAACTAAAAAATATATAGAAAAAAAAAGCAAAGCATGGTGGCACATACCTGTAGTCCCAGCTACTCAGGAGGCTGAGGCAGGAGGATCGCTTGAGCCCAGGAGTTTGAGGTTGCTGTGAGCTAGGCTGATGCCATGGCACTCTGGCCCAGGCAACAGAGTGAGACTCTGTCTCAAAAAAAAAAAGAAAAAATCAAAAAAAACCTTTTTTATCCTCTGATGTTCTCAGCAATTAATTCTTAATTTCAAAGGGATTTTATGCAAAATCTGTATTTTACAGTTTTTAAAATATTTCCCTGCCTCTAGTTCTACCCTGTCCTGACCCCTCTTCCGTTGTGCTGTCAGAAAGGGCCACCTCCCAGGCTGGTCTGAGCTGGCCCCTCGTCACTCTTTGGGAGAACTGTCTTTGGCGAGAAAGCCCCTGCCTGGGCTGAGACCCACAGAGCCTACCTGTCTGATACCTTTTTGTGCCCTTCTCATTCCCCTCTTTCCGAGTGACCTCAGAGCTGCTGTTGTGCTCTCCTGCTCTTTCCACCGAGTTCTGTGTGAGCTGCTCCATTCTGCTCAGAACGCTCTTCCTGCTTGGACATCTGGTGCTTGGACCTTGGCCCAGGGGCTTCTCCTCTCCCTTCCTGAGCACGTGCTTCATCCCTGGCCCCGGTGTCCTCTCCTCCTCCACCCGTCAGCGAGTCCCAGGGTGACGTCTCACTCCTTGTGATCCAGTATCTAGTGTGCCCAACAAGTGAATCTGTTTGTGGTGTCGTTAAGACCATGGATGACTATGAAATAAAAGTATATTCTCTTGTTCATAGTGTGTTTTCTTCTACAGGCAGGAAAAATACTATTGTACTACAAGGATCAGACCAAAGCCATCCTGATCAGATTCACTGCCTGGGGTTGTATTCTAGTAAGTAAGCAACATTCCTCACTAATATTCCTTTCTTCACATACATATATATTTAAAAAAAATAAAATGTTTGACAACACCAGTATAGCAGTTGTCACCACATCGCAACAGGTAACATCCTTCACTTGAATAACAGAGAGGAACAGATCTTTACACCTAAGTGCACACCTAGATTTATTTTTGTAGGAAAATGTCTTTATACATACCGCCGCTGCCCTGGTGGTATGTTTCTAAGAAACAAGCTCCAGGAATAAGCAGCAGGGCTGTGTTGCCCCAGGTCACACTGGCTGTCGGCCCCTTCCAAAGCAGATCACCCTATTTTTATAGTGTTTTTATAGTGTTTTCATCAAATAGCCAGCCAGGAATGGGGAGACATATCAGAAAGTCTAGACAAGTAGTAACAGGTTTTCAAATATCAATCTCCATATTTATATGTGAAAAAAGAATTGTAAGGTTGACTAACCATTTGTCTTACCCCCAACCTTGCAATCATATTTCCTCTCAGGATTCATTGTAACTTATCAATTAATTTACCCTCATCAACTCAGAGGAATCCTGGAAAGGTATTTTAAGAGAATATCTGTTAGTTGCACATTTTAAAAATATGTTTCTAGTTAAAAGGGTAAAATATAAGGCACAATTTTCAGCCCTCCCTAAGCAATTAAATAACTAATTTAAATATATTAGTTGGTCTTGAAACACATTGTTTTGTGAGATAATAATATGAAACTTTAACATCCTTCCCCTCCACATTATAGGGGCTTATTTCTGTTGCTTTGACAAAAGTTTCTGAAAACGAAGGCTTTATTCCAGTGAACAAAAACCTCTGGTAGGTATAGAAAAAGAGCGCCCTTTCAGTGTTGACTGCTCCTCATGTTGAAATGTGATGCTTCCCTGTGGGCGCTGTAACACCTCCTCCAACTCCTCCTAGGTCCATCTCGTACATCACCACGCTCAGCTCTTTTGCCTTCTTCATCCTGCTGGTCCTGTACCCGGTCGTGGATGTGAGGGGGCTATGGACAGGAGCCCCGTTCTTTTATCCAGGTGAGTTGCCTGTAACCCCAAACAGTTGGTGATGGTGACCAGGTGGACTGACCAGAGACCTCTTGAGCATTCTCAGTGCTGGGCCTTGAGCTGCTGCCTGGCGGTATGTTTCTAAGAAACAAGCTCCAGGAGTAAGCCGCAGGGGCTGTGTTGCCCCAGGTCACACTGGATGTTGGCCCCTTCCGAAGCAGACCACCCCATTTTTATCCACTTAGGTTGTGGAGTCATTGTATGACAGGTTATGAGCACCACTTGTTTCTTTAGGCAATACCAAACTGTAGTATCAGGAATGATTCAGGCATATTATGCAGTTTCTAAAACTTACTATTGGGGCTATGCTTTCTTTCTTAATGTAAATACACTACCTTAAAAATTATGCACTAGAAGAAATATTAAAAGGTGATATTAGAGATAAATGGAAGGATTTAGATGCAGTTTTATCTGAGGACTGAGAAATAGACCAAATGATTTCAGTGACTCATTTCTAACCCTTTGATTCTAGTAAGTAACAGTTACATTCTTTGGACCTCAAATTTTCTGTCTACAAAATAGAAGTTATTAATTTTAATTTTCCTTTCAGATTTAGAATTCAAGAATTACAGTGTTATAAAATGAATATTTTCTCATAATTTTTAAATGTAGTTTATACTTAAATACCTAAGATATGCGTCATTTATTTTTGGCAGTAGCTGATAATACAAGTGCATACTTCTTGTTTTTTTTTTCACTGAACTAATTTCAAGAATTAAATAGATGGTCAGATGTGACTCAGGAAAAACATTGTCTTCTGTATCTCTCCTAAAGGAATGAATTCTATTCTGGTGTATGTAGGCCACGAGGTGTTTGAGAACTACTTCCCCTTTCAGTGGAAGCTGGAGGATAACCAGTCGCACAAGGAACATCTAACTCAGAACATAGTTGCCACTGCTATCTGGGTGCTCATTGCCTACATTCTGTATAGAAAGAAGATTTTTTGGAAAATCTGATAGGTCCTGCTAAGATGTGTTGCTGGAAGACTCTAGTGGACTGGGGGAAAGTATTAAAGCAACCTTTATTATTAAAGGGAATCATTAATTATAAAATCAACAGGATGTGTATTTCTAGGTTATTGGGGAAGATGCTAATGTGGTCAAACTAGTGTTCTGCGACTTGGCTCGTGAGAACTGTGCCTATATATTTGTGACTTACATATTTGAAAAGAAATTATCTTTTTTCCTCCATCTTCTCTGGAAATGGATGTATTTGGCACTTCATTCTAAGGAGATCACCTTTAACCTTCCAAAAAGGAATTACCATGAGCATTTTTCTTCTGTGATGGAGAAAACAGTCCAAGGACTGATTCTTATCGATCTTGTCTTTCTGCACACTGCCTTTCCCTGTGTACACACATGCCAACCAAAGTACCATTACTTCTGTTGTGGCCGTCTGTCAAGCTTTTTAAATGTGATATGTCATAACATAGTCTGATATTTTTTAAGTGCAACTTAATGTTTCAAGAAAGCCAAAGTAATTTTCTTTTCAGATCTGTAAGGCGTTGAGGGGTCCAAAAAATGTCTATCATAGGCCGGGCGCGGTAGCTCACGCCTGTAATCCTAGCACTCTGGGAGGCCGAGGCGGGCGGATTGCTCGAGGTCAGGAGTTCGAAACCAGCCTGAGCAAGAGCAAGACCCCGTCTCTACTATAAATAGAAAGAAATTAATTGGCCAACTAAAATATATATAGAAAAAAAAAGCCAGGCATGGTGGCGCATGCTTGTAGTCCCAGCTACTTGGGAGGCTGAGGCAGGAGGATCGCTTGAGCCCAGAAGTTTAAGGTTGCTGTGAGCTAGGTTGATGCCACGGCACTCACTCTAGCCTGGGCAACAAAGTGAGACTCTGTCTCAAAAAAAAAAAAAAAAAATGTCTACCATAAGCCGTTTTTTCCTTGAAAAAGAAAGTTGAAATATAGATGTGTTTTTCCCAACCCCTCTCGCTTGCCTTCCTATCTTTCTTCCCAGCTCTCTATGCGTCTGTGTATCTTGATGGTAGCTGGGTGCCCAGGCACGTGGCTGTGGAGGGGAGGAAGGCTCACTGTCCTCACTGGTGGGCCCAGCCTTGCCATCTTGCTGTGTGAGCCACTGAGCAAGTCCTTGGCCTGTTTGGGCCTTGGTTTCCTCATCTGCAAAATAAGATGGATGGAGATGACTTCTCAGTTCCTTTTCCAACTCTTAGATGTAATGAAGTAAGGTACAGTGATAGCTTTTCTAAAATCTTCATAAAAATAATTTTATTACAGAAAATGCTTCAAAATAAATACTAATGAAAACTTTTAAAAACTCTCATTGGAGTGAAGCTTTTCAAAATGACCCTCCACAGTGGAGGCACTTTTCCTGCTTATGATCACAAAACTGAAGAAATAGTTTCTAGGAGTAAAAGGAGAACACACAAAGAGAAACGGCACTTTTCAAATGATGCATCATCATACTTATGAATTTTCTGTGAGAATTTCATATTTAAGGAAAATGTGGCTGTAGAATTGTGCTTTAGAGCACACTTCCGTGGTGAGGTGGGGCCATCTCAACCTGCCCCATTGTTTCGGCCCTCACTACTCCATGGACAGCTTTCTTGTGTGGTTTCTGCTCTGACCTCTGCCCCCAACTCTCACCCAACTGTGACTGCCTGCTGGATCCCCCACCTGGATGTCAGCAGCATCTTGAGCTCACCTCTTCCCCCTCCCTCTCCTCAAATCGTTTCCCCTTTGGATGTTCCTAGCTCCGTGAATGGATCCTTCTGTCTGGAGATATAAAACTGCTGCCATCTTCTTGCCCGCCTCACCTCTCCTGCACTAGCCACTGCCAAACCCTCTCACGTCTGTCGCCATCTTCCACCTGCAACCGCTTCACTCTCATCGTCCCTGTCTCATTACCTTGTAATCATTTTTAAACTAGCTTCCTTCCCTCAGTCCCTGCTCCTGTAAAGACACCTGTGCATGGCTACCAGATGAAGCTTTCTCAAGCAGAGCTTGGATCAGATCATCTCTCTTTTAAAAACTCCCATTAAAATGGAAACATTTTTGCCTGGTTCCCGTAACCTTCCCACCTTGATTCCAGTGTATCTTTGCAGCCTTCTTTCCCATCCCCTCTCACCTGCCCTACTTATTGCAGCCCAGCTAGAGTCCTGCCATGCCCCATCACAGCCAGTGAAATCCTGCCTCTGCTTTCAACTGGAGTCTTTCTGGGTTACCATTTCCTCTTAATTTTTTCCTGTCTACATTTGGCTGGTCATGTTCAAACCCCATACTTCCAAGGTAACCTTCTCTGACTTCTTATTCTCATCCCCAAATAGTATTTATTTCCTTTGGGTTGTCATAATATTGGTATCAATCTTATGGCATGTAGTGCTTTCTGCCTTCTGTGATAGTTACTTGTGTACATGTGATTTCTAATTTCCCATGCTGGACTGTGAGTGTCCTAAGGGTAAGAATTATGCCTTGTTCATCTGTGTATTCTTCATGGCACCACACACAGTTCCTTGTACATAGCAGGCACTAAATAAACATTTTTAAACCAAAGCAATGGTGTTTTTTTTCTTTTTCTAAATATTTAAATGCTGGACTGGGTGTGGTGGCTCACGCCTGTAATCCTAGCACTCTGGGAGGCTGAGGCAGGTGGATCATTTGAGGTCAGGAGTTCGAGACCAGCCTGAGCAAGTGTGAGACCCTGTCTCTACTAAAAATAGGAAGAAATTAATTGGATAACTAAAAATATATAGAAAAAAATTAGCCAGGCATGGTGGCACATGCCTGTAGTCACAGCTACTTGGGAAGCTGAGGCAGAAGGATTGCTTAAGTCCAGGAGTTTGAGGTTTCTGTGAGCTGGGCTGATGCCACGGCATTCTAGCCCGGACAATAGAGTGACACTCTGTTTAAAAAAAAAAAATTAAGTACTGATAAAATTAGCATACATCTGAATGCTCCACGAAAAGGGCCAGGGAGCTGTATGTGAGACAGTCATTTTGGGGAAATCCTACTGCTACCCTTTCTTACGGTTAGCCATCATAAATGGTCAAAGTTGCATCAGCCCAAATTTCAGCAATGAAAGCTGAATTGGTCCTCTCCAAATGAGTCATCTAGAAGCATTTCTCAAACTGGATATTATATCACGTAGGATGTCTTGAGCCCTAAGGAACAGGAAATCCTGATTCAGCTAGGTTGTGAGGAAAACTTATCCCACATACCTCCTGGGGGAGGCTGGCTCCAGTTTGTCAGCTTGCTTTCAGCTCACTGAGATGGCCACTGCTATGATTCCAGGACTTCCGCACGAGCACAGCATGGCACTCATTGGAGGGAGAGGGCATCTGCTCTGTGTGTCCCATAATTTTATTAGCCAGAAAGCCCTTCCCAGAAGCCTCTCACTGTTGAGGTCAACCAGCAATATCCCAGAACTCAAATATGAGGAGAAGACAGTTCTGGCAGGCCACAGAGAAGTGAAAAAACTCGGAGCAGATGGTAAGAGAATCAGATTTCTAGATCTGTGATGCTCACCAACCCCAACCTGCCCAGCAGTAAGAACATGGAAAAATTCTCCCCTGAGTCATGGTTTCTGTACAAGAAAAAGTTAGGTTGAGGTGGAACACCAGTTTTCCCACAATCTTTGGTTCCCTTGTAGGAGACCTTTCCCTGTTTCAACCCACAGGAATTATTGGGAGTGCCTGAAAGGAGAAATATCCCTAAAGACAAAGACAAAGGGAGTTGGGAGTACTGTCCCCAGCCCTGGAAACCTTGCTCTGTAACATGTCCAAAAGAGAAACCAAATCAGACTGGCTATTCAACAGCACCATGCTGAAGGAAGTTTGTTCCATGGGTACCCTGTGTACACTCACACTCAGCATTCTCACACTACTAAGTTATATCCTTTGGAAGCTCCCGCATTCAGGACAGAGGCACTCTGATTGTTTAGTAGGGATTGTTTGGTATGGGATTAAGTCACCATCTAGTGGCAAAGAAGATGCCACTAGAGAAACAAAAAAAAATCAGGTAAATTACAAAGAATCTCTAAGCAAACATCCAATAAAAGCAAAACAAACCAGACAGAGAAGACTGGAATAAATAATCCTTCAAGGCAAAGAGGGATTACATCAACAAGAAACAACAGAAAACGACCCATGACCTTCCTGAGCAGACTAAGAACAAGTGACTGACACTAACAAGTCTGTGATATATGAACTGAACTCTCTGATGAAGAACTAAATATAGCAGTTTTGAGGAAACTCAGTGATCTCTAAGATAACACACACCAAAAAAAAAAAAAATTCTGAAATTTATCGGGGAAATTTAACAAGGAAATTGAAATAATAAACACAAAATCTTGGAACTAAGAAATACATTTGCTGAACTGAGAAATTAAAGTATTTTGACAGAATGAATCAAGGAGAGAAAACCAGTAGACTCAAAACAGGTTATTTGAAATTACAAAGAGGAGAAAAAAGAATGAAAAGCAACAAAGATCAGTCATAAGATACAGAAAATTAAAAGATCAAATGTAAGAGTTATTTGTGCTCAAGAGAGCTGAACAAGAGCAAAGAGTAGAAAACTTATTCAAAGAAACAACAAAACTTCAAAATTTGAGAAAGATATAAATTTACATATAGGAAGGTCACAGAATACCAAACAGATTTGACCAAATTATGGCTACTGCAAGGCATATAAAAATTAAACTCTCAAAAGTCAAGGACATGGCCGGGCGCTGTGGCTCACGCCTGTAATCCTAGCTCTTGGGAGGCCGAGGCGGGCGGATTGCTCGAGGTCAGGAGTTCAAAACCAGCCTGAGCGAGACCCCGTCTCTACTATAAATAGAAATTAATTGGCCAACTGATATATATATATAAAATTGGCCGGGCATGGTGGCGCATGCCTGTAGTCCCAGCTACCCGGGAGGCTGAGGCAGAAGGATCACTCGAGCCCAGGAGTTTGAGGTTGCTGTGAGCTAGGCTGACGCCACGGCACTCACTCTAGCCCGGGCAACAAAGCGAGACTCTGTCTCAAAAAAAAAAAAAAAGTCAAGGACAATGAGAAGATCCTAAAAGCAGCAAGAGAAAAGAAGCAAATAA